GAGAGACAGAGAGGGATTAAGAATCTATACTCACAGGAAGATAAAATGAGTAATAAGATGTTTTGTACTGGACAATACGCCTATGGCTGCACGTTTAAGAAAACTATATCATCAGTCAGGACGTGTTAATGCTATTCCACTGCATCAACCATTAAGAAGAGGTGAAATCTCTCACATTTGCAACGAGTACTTGGACAAGTCTTTTTCTCCATCAAAGGTAGTGATCAAATCAATCATCTGGCCAGAAGCTGTTTGAAACTCTACCTAGAAATGAATGATGTAAGAGAATAGAGTTGGATCAATTGTGAAATTGGAAAGTTAAACGCCAAAGAGATTTTTACCTCATTAAACAAATCAACGAGGTCAACATAGTAAGGCATTTCCCTGAAGTGCTTTCTGAGAATCCTGTGGATATGATTGCGAAGTAGAACCCCATCGTTAATAGCAATCATACCAACCTTTGGCTGTCTGAACCAACAAGGCTGGCCACGGCGTGTGACAGAGTTGTCCATTATGTCATCAAGCACGAGAAAATGAGCTTGAAGCTGCAATGAAAGTATAAAAAGAACCAGATGAAAGACAAAACAAGAAGAGAAAAACTAAGAGAGAGTAAAAGAGTAATATACCCATTCAATGCACCAACCAAGAGCACATGCGAGGAAAGTCTCTTTATCGGTCAAGTCTTGACCTTGCTTCAAGAGCTTGTAGCTATCAACCACGGAGAGACCACGATTGAGCTTCCCTGCAGAACAGAACATAACAGAACAGAACACACGTGTTTGATGTAAGTTGATCAAGTTTAGATAAAATGTCAGAGAAGAGGCTGCTCTCACCGCCGCGTACATTGTAGTCAAGCATCTGAAAAGAGAGGCACCAAATCAGCAGAAACAAATTGATCAAAGATTCTGATTTGAAATAGAAAATGAAAGTGATTCGAGGAATATACCCGTTCAACCCATTGACGAGACTCGTGGGTAAATTCAAAGGAAGGATCTTGAAGCAGTTCAGACTTGAGAATGGAGTAAACGTCGAGGAACGTTGATTTCAGATCTGCCATCGATAAGGATCACGGAAGGATTTACAAAATCAAATGTAGAAGACGAAGCTATGATCTACCTAATGTTTTTTGACTAATTGTGTCTATATCCTTAAGATTATGCTTATATCGCGTCACGTGACTTTCTTTTAATGGGCAAAAAATAAGCCCATTTAAATGAGCCGACTAAAGGCCTGCCTGCCTACCTCAGAAGCAAGGAAGCATTTTATGGGATTCTAGGGTTTGTTCAATGAAGTATAGTACTTTGTCCAATTTCACATCAAAACAAGAAGAAAACAGAGATGCCCGCAGCCTTTAAATCTATTTTTTAGACTTTGTTCCATGTTAAAACAGTTCATGTATTTACTGTGACAATGAGAAATATGAATAAATCATCAATCTCTCTCAATAAAGATATATTGGTATATGGACATTCTAGTAGTTCCCTAAACAACCTAAAGCATTTTTCATATCTGCTACAAGTCTTGTGGTTTCCATTTTCTTAGTTCAGCATCAACAATGCTATGTGCTTCCTCTGCAATCTCTGCTTTTCTCAAGGCACCATCAATCGCCAGTTTTAACTCTTCCATCTCTTTCATCTTCTCCTCCAACATTCTCTCACCTTCTATTCTGCTCACACTGATCTCTTCCAGTTGAGCAGCAACTGTTTTAGCTTTAAACTGAACCATTCTCTCTGACTCTTCATGCTTTCCTTTCAAATCCTCGTACTCTTTTAGTGATATTCTAATCTTCTTATCAGGCTCATCATGTGTTAGACTCTCTTTCTTCTCTGTAAGAACTTTCATGTCTTCCACAGCTCTTTTCTCTGCGGTTTTCGCTTTCTCCACCGCTCTTCCAACTATCTCGAGCTGTTTCACTGCTTCACCCATTACCGTATGTGTGGCTGCTGCTTCTCTTCTGAGTTCATCCACGTGCATCCTCATCTCTTCTGCTTCGTTTCTTGTTATCTCTGCTTCACGCATGATTTCGTCAACTTTACGACTAGCTTTTAACCATTCCCCTTCTTCAACTTCTTGCCTCTCCTTTTCTTTTTCCTTCAGTTCTCTGTTTTCTCTCTGCACTCCATCTAATTCAACCGTGAGTGAGCCCACCAAGCTTTTGTATGAACTTTCTTCATCACATATTTCTTGCATCGCACTCTTGGCCTCTTTGAGTTCACGAGCTAGTTCAAGCTCCTCCTGCAACTTCTCGTTTTCCGAAGTTATCTCCGCTAACTCCTCGATATCTTGCCTTAGCTCAGGGTCACAACCTCGCTTCAGTTCCTCTAGCCTTTGCTCAGCCTCTCGTCTCATAGCCGCGTAAGTTTCTCTCGCGGCAATGCTCTCTTCCTCTATCTTCTCCCCTTCCTCTTTTTTCCTGGCAGCATCAGACTTCAGTCGCTCAGCAGCATCACGCATTTCAGCTACCTCATGTGACATGTCTTTGATCTTGTTGGAGTTAACCATGGACGCACACTCTGCTTCCTCTGCCCTTTGAAGCTCAGCTAGCCTTTCTTCCACGGAGATGTTGAACTGCTTTTTTAATTCCGCGAGCTCGTGTTTCGCCATGAATAGCTCTGCGGTAGTCAAAATGTAATCCTCTCTTGCTCGCTCTGTTTCTTGTTTTTCAGATTCAAGCTGTTCTAACCGTTGATACATGGTGTGTTTTGTATAGATGGCACATTTCCTGGAATGTTTGGTGGATTCTATTTTAACTCTTAAATCAGCGGCCTTTCGTTGAGCAGAGTCGAGATCGGAGAGTGCTCGTGCTTTAGCTGCGACAGAGCCATCAAGACAAAGCTTGACTCTATCCATTTCTTGTTCCGCCAACAGAAGTTGTGTCTCCTTCTCCGACACATCCGTTGTATCCTTAACAAAAGAAAGACAATTATTTAGAACTAATGTTTTTGTGGGAAAATTGAGGATTCACGTTTTTGTCTAAAAGAGGAATGAGAGAGTACCTGAGAGGGGGAGGAGGAGGAGGAGAGACGCGGTGGTTGTTGTTGTTTCTTAGAGAAGCTAACTTGACGGAATAAACTAACGGCGTCTCTAACGGATTGGAAGGGAGGACGTGTGTCAATCTCTCCCACCTCACTGCTCCGAGGAGGAGTCTCCGGAGGCATCACCGGAGCATCCGTTCTGATCTTCGCCATCAATCTTGTCAACACAGTTTTTTTTTTGTTTTACGTAATGAAGCAAAGAGAGAGAGAGATAGGGAGAGTTTGATGTTGATCCTTAGGAATCTTTGTGTTTCCAAATAATGAACAAGAGGGTCGCCATGTTTTGCGCTGCTCATGTCTTTTTTGTCACTCTAAAGGTCTTCCTCTATCTCTTCTTCTATTTTTAGTTGGGGCTTTACTTTGGTAAACTCAAAATACCCAAATCCTCGTGGATCCTAAAATAAGAACAACTATATACATTGAAGTATTTAGAAATAAGATCAAGTTCTTAACATGAACTATAACAAAAAGTTATTAATAGACTAATCCAACCGGGCTTTCTCCTAATTTGAAACATCGGTGGAAATTGCATTTGCATCGTTCGAATTCATAGGATACATATTTTGTTTTTTATATACAACATAACTGACGTTAGCAAACTGTATAACCGGTTCTTATTACGATAAAATCATATTGTTTACCAAGTATAGTCATAGAGCGTTGATATATACTATTTTGCATGCATGAACCACCTTTCTACAATAAGAAAGGGGATAAGTTTTCAGGTTTATCATCAATCATCGTTTGAGATTGTTAAGGCGCACCTTCATATACTATATGGTCCTAAGTGCTCACTTGTTATGAAACCAAATACCAAATAACTACTTAGCGTAATACCATCTGAGTCTCGAGAGATAGGAAAGGGGATGGAGTGGAATGGTTGAGAAGAAAAGGAGAAATTTATCAAATTAACAAAAAGGAGAAATACATTGTGTCTGTCCCGTATTATTAGGGGTTTAGTTGAACCCCTTGATCAGTTATTCCACGTGGATAATATTTGTTCAATTTTTTTTTTTATATAGTAATGTAGCTGAATTCACTCATATTCTACTAAAACAATTAAATGTATTTTTTTTTGTGTTCATTTAGGATATTTTATCCTTTATTATTTAAAAATCTGTGTAATGATTGTTTTTTATAGTTAAGTAATTCAATTTAAATAAAACTCTTTAAATATTGTATTGTTGCGTCAAGAAAAGAAAAAAAAAAAGTGAAACATCAATAATAGATATTGACTATAAATAAATTATAATACACTTAATAAAGTTAAAGATAATTTGTACACTAAACTCTTTAAATGTTAAGTGGAAATTGTTGATCTTTGTGTATAGTTATTGAACAAATGCAATAAGAAGAAATTAATTAATTTATGATATTGATATGTCATATCATAGACACATCATTGAAATCTTTACCAAACAACAACAAGAACAAAAAAAAGACACATCTTTTTGTATTTATCCATTGGAGAGATTAAACTGATAACCAACCCACACAAAGATCCTCCCATATAAAAAAAAAAAGATAATTTTTATTTATTTTTTGTATGTCTTTGATTCAAAAGATACAAATGTCTAGAAGAAAAGAAAAACAGTTGGGGCAGGCTTGATTGTTATGTGAATTTTGTGACACATCCCTTTACATTTAGGTTAGACTTTCAAACTTAATATTAAACAAAAATATCAAGACATTTCTAAAGGTGAAACGTCGCCTACCTTCAAATCTTCCAATTTTTATTTGTTTTTTTTTAAAAGAAGAAGAAGAAAGAAAGAAAGAAAGATTAGGCAAACAAGTACATACATAATTGCTTCCAATTTTATATAATCAAATTATTAAAGGCAATTTGATCAAAGAAAATATAAAAAGTCAAATAAAGGAAGATGGCTTTTTAAATATATAAAAAGGAAAAAATAAAGAATCTCATATTTTTATACAACCAAACCATTCATTTTTGTGTGGGGTATATATATAAAACACACATCCTTGCTGTTTCTTTAGTTTTTCACATATTTTAGAATTTGGGAGGTGAAGATGATGAGGTTCTTGTTGGTGAGCATGACGTTGGTTTCTATGGTGGCCTTTGGGGAAGCAGCTAGGGAGAGATGGACCAGAAATGAGATGGTTGAGATGGCTGGCTACGGCGAACAAAAACTCTCCTCTGTTCTTCTCACCGCCTCTCTCCTCTCTTCCTCCTCCTCTCCTATTCCTGGTACGTAACCAAAGTAGTAATAATAAGATTCCTTATATACTACAAGATTTATAACATATCATCATCATGTAGGTGCTACTGTTGGGATCAAGTGCCGTAGTGGACATAAGAAGAGATCTAAATGGATCAAAGGTGTGACTAATGACTTGGGGCAATTCGTCATCGATCTACCTTCTCACCTACACGCGATTCCTGACCTGAACAAGGCTTGTATCATCAAACCACTCTCTGTTCCTAAACCTTATCAGTGCTCTTCCAAGATTCACAGAGGCATTCAACTCCTCTCCTCTTCCAACGGCTCCCGTGTCTACACAGCCGGCGACATAACCTTACAATAGAGAGAGCTAGCACACCATGTAAAAAGAGAGTCTTAATTAATCTTTCTAGGATAGATCAGTCATGTCTTTCTTTTGTATATGGTTCCTTCTCGCTTCTTGTGAGAAAGAGAGATATATAGCCTTTGTAAATCTTGTTTTCATGCTCTTCTTGTATTTAGAAATTTTTATGTTTTCTTCAACCTTGGATATTCTTACTACTACAGAGATGAGAGAACATACGATGCTTTAATTATATTAGATAGAAAGGTTGTTGCCTTAACTGAACAACCAAGGCTAAGAACAAAAACCTAAGAAAACATGTATGTGTTTGTGTTTAGCAAAGATTCTGATTTACTTATAGGTTCTCAAGATAATTGCTATATCATTCAAATAAATAATAGGTTACGAGAGACGACTTCATCACATGGTTTGCAATCCAGACATAACACACACACATCTGTTGAGCTTTTAGTTCCCCTTTCTTATAATCCATCCAACACTCAATATGTACAGTACAACCTAAAATAAGATCATCTTCTTTAGTATATTCAATCCCATAAGCTCCTTCTTCCTCTACTGGCAACGTGGATTGGCTACACGGCTGTACAACATAGCATAGGCATATAAATATTAACTTTGTCTAGCATGTTCTCAAAAGACAAGGACAAACAATGAAGCAAAAAAAAAAAAAGAACAAACCTTCTTGGTAAGTTTGTCTTTCTACTTTGCTTTGACTCTTCATTCAATATTGCCAATGCGTTTTCTTTTTCTCTCGCTGCGGCTTCCCTCTTTGCCTTCTTTGTCTCCACTTCAATGGCTTTCGTTAGAGCATCCACCTTCTTCAACAACATCTGAAAACAGAGGTATCTCATCTTTAAGTAAGGTTTCATATAGTTGAAGAGATAAAACAACAACAACAAGAGAGATGAAGTTACCTTGATCTCTTCATTTTTGGTATTTATAGTACCCTCTTTACTCTCACAAATCTTCCTTAAAGCAATTACTTCCTTCTGAAGCCTATCATACAAAAACCCTGAAACCATATCTTCAGTATCTACATCTCCATCTTCCTCTGTTTTCCTTTGGCCACCTTTTTCATGCTGATCAGTTAATCCATTAGCTGTAATCTTTGAATTCTCCTTTTCATCACTTTCTGCAACTCTGTGAATAGGCTGATTCAGAGCATGTATTCTGCCTGTAATTGAGCCTCTTGGCTGAGAAGTAGACCTTTTCTTTGATCCACCACCACTTGTTAAGAATCCTAAAATCTTGCCAGATCTTTCAGTCTTTGTAGTTGGAGAGACTAGAAACGTGTTTGGGCACTTCAAGCCATCTTCTATGGTTTTCAACCTCAGCTTTAACCTCTCCTGTATTGTTTACTTGCATTAGAAACTACACTTTTTACCAACAAAATATTAACAGTCTTAGCAATCACCTTTAGTTGGGATTCAGCCTTAGCAGTTCTTTCTGAAACAGCAAGTTTATCTTTCAGTTTCTGCATTTCCCCCTGCACACAGTCACATACACAACTTTGAACATTCATGTTTGTATAAGCTACTCAGTGTGTACTAAGTGGTTATGTAAGTGAAAACCAGTACATGGAGAAGCCTTCTCTCTTCAAGCCATTTCTTCACAGGCATTACTCTATCGTTCTCATCTTTCCATTCGTTAGCAACGGCAAGGGCCACTCTACTTGCTGAAACTTTGACTCTGGCTAGTTCTCTCTCCAAGGTTCTCTTCTCATCCTGTTAATGATGAAAAAAATCATGTGAGTTTCCTTAAAACAATATGTGAAAATAAAGTACAAGAAACTAAACAGGACACTTGCGTTGAGCTGTGAGATTTGACGGCGATAGTCTCTAACTGCATTGGCGGCTGTCCCTCCTGCCAAGATTGCTTCCTCCAGTTCTACAATGCTTTGGGAGAGCTTCTCAATCTCCAACACTTTCTGGCGGTTTATTTTCTCAAGAAACTTGTTCTCATCCTGGCATATCTCAATCTGTCGTCTAAGTTCAAAGTTATGGTTCTGGACCTCCTCAACGATTAAAGCACGTTCAAGTGCACTTTTCAAGATTCTCTCTGCTTCAATAAGCGCAGATTCTTTTGATTTTGTCAGACGTTCCAAAGCTTTCTTGTCCTCTTGAAGTGCAAAAATCTGTAAAGCAGCAGCGAGTAAGCACAAGAATATGCAGCTTTTCACAATAATATAAGAAAGAAGTTACATGGAGTCTCAAGAACCTGTTGCTTGTGAAATTTTATCTGAGCTTCAAGGGGAGCGATGATGGATTCGAGGGGTAGAGAGTCATCTTCCTGTTGGTGAGTGTAAACCCTCCTAAGTGCTTCTTCTGCAGCGTCCTGAGCCGCCAATGCATCTTCTTTCTCTTCCTCAAGCTTCTTCATCTCCACCTCCTACAATCATTTCACAATCTTAACTTATTCTAATCATTATGAAAAAAAATTCACAAATATGGTAGTCTTTTAGCTAACACACCTTTTGTTCAACAAGATTCTCAGTGGCTCCAAGTTTCTCCTCCAACTTCCTTACGCTTTCTCTCAGCTGAATCATAACCAAGTGTCATCAGCAGAGCTCAAGAAGGAAATTTTGAATATGGAAAAAAAAATGACCAAGAAAACTTGTAGGAAAGATTGAGTAAAAAGTTTTTTCTATGAACATCACGAACAGAGTAAATAATTGATCATCATGTTACCTCCTTAAAGACTCTGTCTTTGAGCTCCTCGTTTGTTCTCAAAGCCTCAACTTCAGCTTTAGCAGCCAAAAGCTCTTTCTCTTTTTCTGCAGAGAGAAATCAAAAGAAAGCAACACTAACCTCAACATCAAAGCAAGTTACACAGAAGGATTGATCATTAAAAAACCAGAAAGAAACCTTTAAGCTGGTTTTGCAGAGAAGAGGTGTTAGATACAAAAGGGTTTTCTCCTGCAGTCATCTTGTACTCTCAAACGGCTCCTCCTTATTTGTTACGGTATAGAAGATATGAGTTTTCGTCTAAACAGAAGAGAAATGGAGCCGTTGAATATATACACACACTCTTTTAGAGAGAGAGAGAGAGGGAGAGAGAAGCCATTACTTAAAGGAAGTGACGTTAAAGGAGAGAGAGAAAGAGACAGAGAGAAAGAGAGAGAGAGAGAGAGAGAGATTAAACTGAAACTTACTAAACTCTTTTACCTCTTTCTCAAGCAACCGTCTCCATTTCAAACCCTTGACAGTAACCAACCCTTCCCTCTTCTCACTTCACTTTCATTACCCATTTATCAACAATATTCATCCCTTTATCTTTTATTTTCAATTCCTAAAATGCTTGTCGACTTTGAACAAAAAAAAAAAATGCTTGTCGACTTCTTCGTTTTTCAAATTATCTACTCAGTTACATAGAATTTTTCACTAAAGGAATAATATATCAAAGTAGCTAGAGTTGGTTTCACCATCATAATTACCACATTCATACGAGATAAAGAAAAAAAAAATCATTATTTTTCAGGTTCCAAGATTAATGGTGTAACTAATACTAGTATTTTAAAGGGACACGGTATGAATGAATATATCAATAATAAACAAAGAGAAATATTATGCTTTAAACCTTCAAATGGAAATTAAAATAAACAAACAAATGTGTAAGCAAAGAGAAGAAGAGAATAATCCAAAAGAAGTTGGAAGAAGAAGCAGCATATGACAGATATAAAGACACTAATCATAGGGATAAAGATCATTTAAATGATTGAACTAATTTCGTTTGGTGAAAACCTTTTTCTTTCTTTCTTTGTTTAAAAATACTAATAATAATAATAAAACTCACCATCAAATAATATTCATATAACTTGTATCCTTTTGTCTTTATTCGTTTTTGATAAGGTTATATGAATGTAGGTAACAAACAGATAACAATTATGCTAATCTTGAAACAAAAAAAACCAGATTAATCAACATCTGATTATGTATTATCCATATGAGTTTAGTAGTTTGATTAGTAGAAAAGAAGAGTAAGAGAGAAAGGTTGAAAAGGTGTTGCCTCAGCAATTAATAGCTTAACCGCAAAATATTGCACAAACCAAGCTTTCTTTGTATTAGTGGAAGTCACTCAATATCTCTCTTTGAATTATTTTTTATTAAAATAAATAATAAAATGGGATTTTTAAATAAATGAGACTCCTCTCTCTTCTTTGCTTCCAAGTCTTGGGGTTTGGTTATTAGGATGAAACAATGATAAGAAGATTAGACAATGAACACTTAGATAGAATATTATAGAATCAACATAGGTAAATGACTAAATTTTGGAGAGAAATTAGGTAAATAACAACAAGTCAAAAACAAATTAAGTAATAAAAAAAGGTCAGTAAGACTAAAAAATCAATATTGTATTTTAATCATTCATTTATATTTTAAGTGTGATTTCCTAACAAAAAATTATAGTATTATACAACCGAAATCCTAAATCTAACATCTGTTTTAGAAAAAATTATTATATACACAATTTACACATAAACAATTACCGGGAGAAATCATTTTCTGAAATGTGATAAGAAAAAAGACATTCATTTTATTTCTCTATAGTTATTTTCTTAAGAACTCTTGTCATTGTATATATATAGTATTGTTGTTAAAGGCAATAAAGGAAGCTTGAGCCTTATAAAAAGTAAAGAATAAAATGGAGGCAATGACCTGTACTTGTTCATTCTTTGGTTTTGTGGGTTGGTGAGCTCCTTTTCAAGACTTATCTCAGAACCCAATCTGACCTGTAGATTTTTTGTCCTCACAAAGCTTTTTGTTCAGCCGCCAATTGACTCATACTGGTATACAGAAGGATGATAGAATGGCCTAATCAATGTTTTTGGTTATATTTCATTACTAGCACCCATCCACCCACAACAACAGAATAATTTACAAGAGAAAAAACAACAAACCAGGTTTGGTTTTTTGTATACATATGTATATATAACTAGTTGACTTAGGTTTTGTTACAACTTAAAATACACACCCTCAAAAATTTACAGAGACAGATGTGTTTGTTTGTGCTCTTCATCCACTCAAGTCACTACTATCACCATGACTTACCCGATCTGGTTTAGGGTTGGCTTCCACGCGGAACATGTAGCCATGGGTCTCCTCTTCCATAAGAGATAGAGTGCTCCTTCATTCCCTCCCAGTTTGTAGTTTTTGTCATAACTTTTCAACATCTCACTCGCTGCAAAAGCTGCGGATGTGCTGATCGGCCATCCTGTGAACCCAGCCATCATCATTCTGACCCTCCATTTCCCCAGCACCTCATGTCTCTCCACTCTCTCTGACTCCTCGCATGCTATCATGTTCACTATGTCTCTTGCTACGCAGTGCTGCTCTGCACTGATCCTCTGTTTATCATCCCGTGGCCGCGCTGCATCTATCGACTCAAACATCGCTGTGTAGTAATCCAGTGTCTCCACAAACCGTGACAGGAAAGGCGAGGTGTTTGTGTTTGATTCTTGTTCCACCAGTGTCACGAGTTTCGGGGACAGGCTCTTGATCAGATGCAACAGCCTGTCTCTGTGATTTTCAACACTTACGCTCTCGTCAGGCATGTGGTGCAATACATAAGGGAAGTTCACAACGACAGCAAAGCCAGGTTCCACCCCGAGGTGTTCCCGCTGCACCTTGCACCCAGACATGATGGCATCGTGAAACTCAAACGGGACACCACATGACTGTGCAAACTTTGTGAGCCTCTCACCTACCAAGCTGAGTCCTCCCCCGCGAGCATAGGTGGACTGTGAATCATCTACACCCGTCACACGTAGCAATGGCGGCCCACCAGGGCGTTTCCCAAGCTCCTGGATCAGAAACACGTATTGTGATCCCTGCGCAATCTGGAAATCGATAATGTGGACTCTGGTTTCCCCAGCTATTGCTTCCAAGATTGCAGCATTTGCAGTTGTGTATGCGAATTTCCAGTAGGGGCAGATTTCATAGAGAACGCCCATGTAAGACATCAGTTCTCTTCCTGTTGGCTCATTGCATTTCAAAGCTTTGTATATATTGCTCCCAGACCCTTCAAGCCTAGCTCTAAGCCCTTCTGCCATATAAGTGCCTAGCCGTTGTATTGGACTTCCTGAGACCGACACCATCTGTTCCAAGACATCGAGGAATCCATACGCTGTAGCAAAATCTCCATCAGCAACAGCTCGAGCGGCCTCCACCAGCACCTCTTTCAAGTCCAACTGTGGAGTCAATGCCAAGAGTTCATCCCAGTTCCATGACTTCCCAGCAGCAGGGCTGAAGCCAGAGAACTCTTCAACTTTTGTATCACCACTCAGCAGCGAGACCTCAAGTTCCCGAATCTTACTCTTGACGCCAGCTTCATCATAGGCTAAAGAAGAGGTCCCACTCAAGGGTGATCCATAGACGTTGTCAGGAGAAGGATGGAGATCCGAGATGCATGACTGAGAGCCCTGCGGAGAAAACGGGCTCCGGCCAGATGTGATGCTCACAGAAGGGGAGTCATATGAAGGAAGACTACCGGAAGCAGTGGATGATTCAAGAGTAAAAAAGTTTTCTTTGGATGGGATATCAGAGAAGCCATTGTTGTCTATCGCTTGAAACTGAGGTGAACAGTAGACTTGAGGATACAGCATGTGCAGTCCTGCCGCACTGTGATGTTTCTGAGACGTTTGCATTGGAAGAAAAAAAACCCAACAAAACGCACCCCCTGGATCAATTTTCTTTAGCCAAATCTCTCTCTAGTGCGTCTCTTGTTCAATTTCGAGGAGAGTAATAACCTGTCTCCATGAAAGGGATCCAAAAAAGAAAAAAGTTAGCTACAACAGAGTAAAGCAACTATACACAGACACTTGTGATTAAAGATAAAAGGTCTAATTCTGAACTTTTCTCCAAACAAACTCAAACTTATGCCACAAAAAAATGTATACTTCAACCCTTGGCAAGTCTGCTCACAATCAATCAACCATAGCGTCATCAGAAAACAGATCTGACATCTTTTCAGAAATCAAAGATCGGTTTTTGTTACTGCCTTGAGATTCCTATTGCCAGTAAAAGATAAAAAGGGATAATATTTTCATAGCTTCCACCCGAAAAAACTGAAACCTACCACTCTCTATCTCTCTCTACAGAAACCACATCTGGTCTAAGGCTGGAGTCAAACCGTAAAGCAGAGATTTTTACCAGAATCAGGTTAACCTATTTGATTGAAAAGCTTAAAATCCACGCTCTAAGTCAAGATTTTATACATTCATCAGTGTAAAGTTAGGTAATTTTGAATAAACAACACAAAGGAGAGATTTTGGTTACTGGGTATTATCAATACCTTACACCAAAACCAAATCAAACAAGTCATCATCTCCTTTCACAAACCAACAATCAAAAGAGGCACATATAAGCTAAGAATCCACAAACCTATGATCAAAAAGCTTAAAACCATATAAGGGTACAGCTTAATTATATGAAAAAGAAGAAGAAGAAGCAATTGTTAAATTTAGAAACAAACAAATGGAATTGAATCGTTTGACAAGGAAAATTAAAAGAGAAAGAGACTACATAGATCACCATGAAATGAAAAAGCTAACCTTTAAAGGAGATAAGCTGAAGAGAATTTGCAGATTAGTTGATTTTGCTTGGAAGGGGACAAAAGAGAAGAAGTTTTCGTAGCATACTCAAGAATCAGCTTGAGGATGAAGGAGATGGAGATTATAATAAAAGTGCAAATTGTCATGACTCTCTCGGAGCTGACTACTTAAACACCCCCGCTTTTCCCATTATTTACATAAAATACCACTCTGACCATTGACTTTTGGACGGCAGTAGCTGCACTACCACTGTTTGTGTATTTTAATTTTAATTAACTCTTGTGTTAACGTCTAATTTGCTTATCATTAATGGAATGCTAAAGTTTTCACAAAATAAATAAATAATGGAATGCTAAAGTAGACTAGTAGAGTATTTGGCGACAAAAAAAAAAAAAGGGATTAGTAGAGTAATTAATTAAAATGTGACGATTAGGGGAAATTGCGTGTGGAACATGATAATTAATTATAAAAACATAGGGTTTATTTTAGACTAATTAATTTTGTTATGTATTTTCTACTCTTGTCGCTTTCTTTTCTTTTTAATTTATAGGAAAATGTTCAAATCATCTTGTGTTTAATTTTAATTCCACAAAATAATTTATAAATATGACCGTGGCTTCCATGGTTTTTTCTTTCTTTTTCTTTTTTGGTGTCAACTTCACAATTATAATTTTTAAACTCACAACCACAATACAATAATGTAATTAACGAGAATGACATAATATCAAATTTTTGGAGCATACTAAAATAAAAATGACAATTAAAGATACATACAAGTTACTTTCATCCACAAGCATATAAGTATTAAAATTTATAAACAGCCAATGTCAAAATTACTTTTTTCGTTTGTATTTAGTAAAGACTTCGGCTTTTCAATTTTGTTTCAAAATAGTGTCGTTGAAATTATTGTTAAAGACTAATTGGACCCCAAAAAAAAAATCATATTTCTTCTTCAATTAATTTTTCATATTTTGAAGCTTTATAGACTATGTTTCTAAACGTACGATTGACTTATTGTTAATGTAAAAATTTTCCATTGCATATGTTAGGTTGATATAAGAATAGGTTTATGTTTGTATGCGGAAAGATGTGTGTACATAAGCGAAAGTTACAACAATAGATCAACGGTGATTGCAAATTTGCAATGCAACGGACGGGACACAAAAGACGGATAAAATGTGCATCTAACTAGTTTTTAGTTTCAATAACTCTTCCATGCACCACCATCCGATAAGACTACATAAAATCTCATGTTTTAAATATTGTTCATACCTAACAAAAAAAAATGTTATAAATATTGTTCTTAGGGCATGAGCAAGGGCATAACCCCAAGGATAGATCTTAGGGTAATTATAATATATTAATAATGTAATAGTGTGTTTTAAAAACAAAGCAAAATTGTTGCGTTATTGGTTGAACCCGTACATTCTTACATTTAAAATAATATAATAATGATAAATTTATTAAATTAATTAATTTGAAAATTTAAAAAATGTTAAAACAATTATGAATTGACAATTATAAAATTAAATATAAACATATAAAAATAAACATAAAACATATTTGGAAATTGTAATATATAGAAAATACAATTCAAAATTATTTTTTAAAAAACAATTATGATAAAAATAAACAAATTGGACAAGTCACAATTGCACAAAGAGTGTAGTTTAGGAGAACACAAAGATGTTGCAGAAATGATACATGAACTATAAATCAGATTTCATTGTAACCAACAAGCTCCTTCCAATGCTTCCCAATGCTTAGCTGCAGCAAACACACCAATAACATGTCAGTCCCCCAAAAAAGCCTTCCTACACAAAACCAAGATCCTGGCCCTAGTTAACTGAAATGATGAAACCCGATTGCTACAAGATTGAGCCAATGTATGTATGTGTTTTGTAGGAATATCATGTCATGTTCAGTGTCAAAGCCAAACACATCAACATAAACTTTGTTTTCGATGAGTATACTTTTTACTGACCAACCAACTTAGCTTTTGAGGTATCAATTCACATAACAAAGAACCAACCCGAATAAAATCAAGAACTGATTCACATAATAAAATCAAGAACTGAAGCTGAAAGAATGAGATGCTTACCCCCTCGCGGCATCGTCCTTCTTTCTATCAAACTGAAACGTACCAAGAATCACCTGCATTTGCACAAATCCAAGAATCATAGATGAGCTTCTAGCAGAATCACTTCAACATTAGATTTGAATGAAGGCTAGATATTGGGCCGCTTACACCAACAAAATCTATAACATGTAAGGATCTTGAGGGTAAAAGAACATGACAGCAAATGAATTTAATACCTTTTGTCTGATGTCTGAAGAAACAGATCCAAAAATCCCCCAATGGAAACAAATCTCACGTATTAATGAGACCAGCCACAGAGCGAAAGCATTTGGCACTGGATTTGTTATACGGTAGAGGCTGCCTTGCTTCGTCATTCCTGTAAAACAAATAAAATGGATAATGCTTAACAGGAAAGATGTTCAGATTGTTCAATGTCATAACCCTGAAACAGAACAAGACGCCAAGTTGGACCAAACGAGATAACGAAACAAGAACTTACAACAAAGCTTCATCTACGAGAATATCTGTGCTGGCGTCAATATCTCCTCCACCTCTTTCAGAAGCAGCCTGTGTGTTCACCGGACCAGTGTTCTCCTCATGCTTCATTTTCCAGCCATCAACTCTCTCCTTCCATGAAATTGCTTCTAAGTTTAGCTATGAAACCTCAACTCAATACCCACAAAAACTTGATTCCATGTCCTATATGCAATTGAATGTTACACCAATCAAAAAGCATCATCTACTTCAATACAAAATCGCATCAAGCAGGAACATCAGAGAGAAACCTAGAAATCAATTACGATCACAAATGATCAAAATCAAGAGTCTCAGTACCTTGAACAAGGAGTATCAGGAGTTGGTAAGTGAAGTAAATCGGAAAAAGAGAGGACGGGTTTTGAGATTACCGGCGGAGACGAGGAGGACTGCGTTGCTGCTTTGTCCGCCATGATTCGAAACGTGAGGAGGAGAAGAAAAATAAATTTTGGAGGAGAAAAAGAAAAAAGAAAAATGTTTTCATTTACAATTTATGCAGCCACTCACGTATTAACACCTGGTAGAAGAACCCAAACCAAAAGAGTCTTAGCTAACACCCGTTTATCTCTTCCAATTTCACTATTTCTATATTTTGGTATTTTTTAATTGGGTTAAGACCCCTAAAGATGGCCCGTTAAATATGGCATTATATATGAAAAACAAAAGAGTACTATTCCAATACTCCGACTAGTGTGCGCGTGTCTGTAAAAGACGGGGGAGAGGAAGCGACGCGTGGAGGCGCGTAGGTGTTTTGTACGGTGGTGGGATCGTAAAAGAGGAGAACGCGTTCACGTCACATATATCATATTATATAGATCATACGTCGGAAAAATCCAAAGATTTGAGAACGTTCGTGGATGCTCCCAAATATCCTCTGACTGTCTGACACATGTCTTGTCCTTCTTTTTTCTTCATTTGTTTTTAGGTTAAACAAGATGGTGAGAATATATATATCTATGGATACAAAAATTTGTGTGACTTGCATGGAAAAGATTGTGTGTTTTGGTAACAAAGGACTATAAATAGTGAAACAAATACTTTATTAATCTTTTCTTTTTGTGTGTGTTTTTAAAAGACGTAAAGAAAGAAGAGGATGAGATGTAAAAGCATGGAATCGTCCTTTCATCTTTCAAAAGATGGCTATCTCCTATCTATATCACTAGTCTGAGTTTATTTATGTACAAACACAAAGTTCTTACAAAACCTGAGGATATATCTCAGAGGTTTGTAAAATGTTCCATCAAAGGAAACTTGAATATTAATGATTCTAGGTAAGGTTTCAACTCTAGTTTGAAATTTCTAAGAAGAAAGAATATTGCAAAGCCCTTTTGAATCTAATTTAATTTGTAGTGTTATTTTTGGGGGTGGACAGGAGTAGTACTGTAGTCCTCCACTTGACCCCTCTTTTGTCCTAAAATATCTAAAGCCAAAAAGACAAATGTAAATTAATTGCACGAGCTTCGGCGAAACTACTACAATCTTTTCATAAAGAGAGAGAGAGAGAGAGGAGAGACTTACGTAAAGAGTAGGATACGTAATCATGGTGCCCTCACACCGCACACGGTTACTCTCTTTGCTTTCTTGTTTCTTCCTTATTACAAACACCATCTCTTTAATAATACTAATAGTTACCCATTTATTAAAGTTAATATGCGGAATAGCAATGGAAAAGGTTTTCTTTTTATTTCAAGTAGATGGCAAAACTCCTTTGTGATAAGGATTCTGGGTGTTGGAGGTTTATTAGATAGTTTGAGACAATTGGATGTCATTGAGAAACTAACAAGGATAGTTATATATAGAGGAAACATAGACATATAAATGAGATTGGTACTACTGATTACTGAGCATGCATGAGAAAAATGAAGAATATTTGGGAGTTGTCGGATAAAGAGTAGGGAGGAAAGGCAACATGAGGCCAATTTTATCTATGGTGCAATATGAATATCTCAATGAAATACATGTTTTAGTTTTTTTTTTTTGTTTTGTTTCACATGTTTTCATTGTTGATTCTAATTTAATGTAAATAATAAATAAAATAACACTAATAAAGCAGAATTGATATTGCAACTAAATTTTTGAGAAGTAAGTATGAGGTCATCAAGTGAGAATAGGGGATGGATGCAAAGGAGACACATTTGCTCTCTCACCTACTAGTACCATTAACTCTTTTTTTTTTTTTGAATGACTTCTATTTTACACATAATACTCTTTTCTTATTCCAACTCAATCGTGGATCATGACTACAGACGGTTTACCAAAAGCATACTACTCTCTCGAGATTGAGAGCAAGAGACATAACATATCAAGTGGAAACAAAAAAATGGACCAAGCTTACCTTATGAGGTACTATTATTATTACCTTAAAACATTCTCCCACCTCTATACCATCCTCTGTTCTCCTCTGATCTCCGCCCTGTCTTTCCCTCTGAGCTCTTTGACAACTTTACACTTTTTGCACTCGATTTGACTTTACCTCCCGTTGTTGTTATAGTGCTTCTCCCTGACAAGCTCTCTTCTGCTGAATCAACCCTCTCAAACTCCTGCGCGGTATATCGCCAAGCAGTTCTATTAAGTTCTATCTTGTGAGCCAATGACCAAGAACCTGAGATTTGTCCCTCAAGGCTAAAAAATCTAGTACCTTAGGCTTCTTCTTGGTATAAGGGGTTAGACATGGATTTAGATCTTCTAGAGCCAATCCATCAGGACTTCCTGAGCTGAATTCCTGATATGCATTCAATTCTAATAAGACCCTTGCCAATTATTGTTGATTCTAAAATTATATTCTTTGAAGATCCTAATTTTGATTCTATTTTGCTTACCAGTGAATCATAGGAAGAAGTCTCTGCTTGCCAGTAACAGCTTTCTGACATATACTTGTTCGCTTTCACCTGATAAAGATGTGTTATTCCAGATTCTTATTAGATAATACTCAAAGCTATATAGAATTGTTGCTGCAGCAATGCCATAAATAAACTTCCCAATACTCACAACTCAGTTTCCATTACACTCAGCTTCTAAGTCCCACGAGAGGGGTTACATGCATATCTACTAATTAAAGAGAAAAGATGAAGCAAATTACCTCAGCAAGATCATGAGCAATGCATTGGAGCTGGCCATTGAGTGAAATGACTTGCTTTTGAAGGTTAGGAATGATCTGTCTTGCCTGATTCAGCTCCTGCATTTGGCTAATTTGGCTGTTCATCGCATCCGGAAACAGAACTGCACTCTTCAGTGACTTTATCTCCTCCCTTTGCTTTAGGCAAAGATCCTTCAACTTCTCCACCTGCAGAAACAGCTCAATTTTATTCCAAATTTTGATTTATATAAAAAAGAAAAAGCTGATTCTAGATTAAACTCAGCTGATGTCTCCATGAGTCTAACCTGTTCTAACACAGACACATTCCCAAAACCCCTAAACAACTAAAACTAAGCTTTAAAGAGGGGGAAAGAAGATTTTTACTTCACGGTTCTTGTCTTCAAGCTGCAATTTTAACTCAGCGATTTCAACCTCGTGGTCCTTGTTCATGCTCAGAAGCTCCCTCTCGCTTCTCAGAACCATAGACAGAGTCCTAGTGTTACCTTTAACCTCTGTCAATGCCTTCACCTTCTCCTTCCCGAAAAGCTTCCTCTGTAATGTACCCAGTGTACTCTTCCCTCCTCCTCTAACAGTATCAATTTTCTTCAGTTCCTCGGGAACCACAAGCTCGACCCTCTTGCTCTTGGAATTAGATTTCTTCATCTCCATTAGCTTCTTCATCATACTAGTGAGGTTTCCAGGATTATTATCAGGCTTCACGGGTTTCGTAGTTTTGGTTAAGTAGGAAGATTTGGATCTGACAATGGCCTTGGATGAAAGTGGCTTGTTCGATTTGAATTCGGCGGAGGGTGATAGATCTGAGTGAATCGAGGAGGATACGGATGATCTAGAATCGTAGGAGTTATAGCGAGATGCCATTTTTGAATGGAAGGTTCGAAGATAGGATCAGTGATTTTGAAAATGAGGAAGAAGAAGAAGCAGAGGGAATTTGGTTTCTCCTCTTTTCCCAATGTCCCACTCTCTTCTTTTCAAATTTCGTATCCTCTGTTCAAAAGTCAGACTTTTTCATTATATTGGGCCTAATAATGGGCTTATAAAGTTTAACGGCGTTTTTGTGTTTATTTGAATTTTGTTCTTCTGGTTATTCAAATGATTAAATACTTACTACTAATTAAGATTTTAATTAATTAATTGCTCTACACTTAAGGAGATGACATGATTGTAGACTGTGGAGAAAGTTTTTAGAAGATAAATTTATTAGAGAGTCCATATAGTTTTCAATTTTAAGTTTTCTTTGCTTTTTGTGTAGTTTTTTTTTTGTTTGGAATTTTGTTTATTCATTTTTTGTTTTTTGTTTGGGGTCAACTCCTTTTCTTTCTTTCTTTACTGTAAAAATGACATACACAAAGTGAAGAGACTTTCATGTTCTTTTGTTGGGATTAATCTAAGAGCATTTCGTATTTACGTCGGCAGTAAATAGGAATAACTATTTGGGGGCATAGAGGAAGATCAAGATGGAATGAATGAATGAATGTAGTTGGCATTGGTCCATATAGAACCCAAAAGTCTAATAGTAAACCCAAAGTCATACATAAAACACTGCATTTATGTAGCCTCCAATTGCCTCTTGCGTAAAAGACTTAAGGAATTAGTTAATAAGAGTTGTAATGTGAATAGAACACGTAACTGGACTAGCATGTGTATGAGAAGTTCAAATCCTTAACACACAATATCATCAATGATAAGTGTTTTAAGATAAGATGGAAACTGAAGGAGCATTTAAAGATTAAGAAAGGCAACTGTAGAGTTGCCTTGGCAGGAGGGGAAAGCTAATATCATGAAGAATCTTGTCTTATAAATGACAGATGGATATGTATCAGTACGTTCACCACCAATCCATATCCTTCATAACTCAAGTGGTCCCTTTCTCTGGACACATCCACGTCTCCCTCCTCACAAATAAGACCAAAGCCACACTCTCGTTTGTGTGTCCTCTTCTCTTTAATGCTCTCTCTTTTTGTTCTTTCACTCTATAAAATTCACAACAAGACATGAAGGTTTTTTGGGAACTTGCCTGCAGAGTTCCAATGCGGCTGCTATTATCATCTGATCCCCAACCTCAGTTTACCTCTACATGTACGTCCCAGAGTTGCGGCTGGAAGCCTTACTCTCATTCCAATGACTTTGCAGCCAACGCCTCCCTCCTCCTCATCATCATCTTCTCTGTTCTCATTTGTGTTTTCTCTCTCCACGTTGCCATCCGTTGTTGCCTCCGTCCAGTACTCTTCCAGCATGACCCTAAACCTGATCCTGACCCTGATGAAGCCTCTCTTTCAGAACTTCCCCCGACACTTGTTTACTCCCCCGGGATGAACTTGGCAGGCACCGAAGCAGAGTGTATCATTTGTTTGTCTGAATTCCAAGATGGTGACACCTTACGCGTGTTGGAAAGATGCAAACATGGATTCCACGTTCATTGCATCCAGAAGTGGCTCTCCTCCTCCCACTCTTCTTGTCCCACTTGCAGGGCAAACATCTTCTCCTCCCCACCTCAACTTCACTCACCACAGAGCTTACAACTAACAAGTACTACAGATTAGTCAATTGGTAGCTTCCTGGTTTACTTTGCTCATTTTTTCTCCTCTTAATTGTCTTTACCACTCCTCACACACCTCTATCATGTTTTCCAAGTTAGTTTATTTGTAACCTTTTGGTCGTAGTATATTCCATGAAATCATGAAAATTACACACACGCTGGAAATTGATGTAAAGTCACTTTTGTGAATCATCATCATATACAACCCAAAAAGCAAACAAAGACCAGTGTGTAAACGAAGCAGAAACCTTACCTCATAATACAGAGGGGCAAAAGGCTTAATTCAATATTGGAGTTCAAGAAATATGAGGTCTTGAAATGGTGTTAACCTCTCAATTGTTGGATAAGAAAGAGAAGAGGTGTTACTGGATAAGATAATGGATAGAGTGAGCAGAAGAAAAAAATGGTGGAATGACTCACATTACGAGCATTAACTCCATTGTCCTAGTATGATTCTAGGCTTTCTAGCAATAGGAGAAAATTCCAAGTGCGTACAAAGGTGTTCTACATTTAATTTATAGACCACATTTACGTGGTAACATGATGAGAGCTAGGTACATACAATATATAATAAATTGTTATAGTTTAGGGATTGTAAAGGGGAGAGACGAACACGTAAGATAAGAGTTGTGTCAGTGTGTGAATACAACCAACACTTCGCTTTGAGAATGATAGGTGTGGTGATTCTGTGTGGATTGGTTTGCGAAAGCAGAGGAGATGCGGGTGGATATGGAACACGGTGCATGTAACATTCTGCAGATAAAGTTATAGAGGGATCAGCTAGACACTTGTGTTGAACATGAGGTCCTGAATACGTTGTAATATGTTGGTGCCGTGTGTTACTACTACACAGATTGTAACATTATTTGGGGACTGTACTTTTCATGGAAGGTAATTCACTCACAGACAAAGGACGTCGTTATACTTAGAGAGAAAGAAATGTCGAGGATATTTTTTACTTTTATAAACATTTTTGGGGAAAGGGAAAAAAAAATCAAAGGGTGAAATTGTCAATATAAACATCGAGATAAAAACATGTCAAAACAAAAAAAAACTACTTTTAAATTTGGGGCGAAAAAATATAAATTTTTGAAATGTCTTTTCAATCCTAATTTATGAGCATTAAAGATTTTTAGCATATTTTGAACTATTGAGCCATATTATTATTCTTGCAAACAAAAAATAATGTATATACATATATATGCATAGACATATATAGGCAACTAATTTAAAACAAAGAATGCACATGTTTTTAGTTATTAAATAGAAATTTATGATTAGGTATAAAACTAAGAGAATATTAAGTTCAATAATTATAATAAAATAAAATAATTATTATTAAATATAAATAAAAAAAAACTAAATACAATAATTTTATTGAAAATAACAAAACTAAGACAAATATGAAATACAAAAAAAAAATTATTAAATAAAACAATAAGGGAGATTTTATGACCAATAAACCAAAAAATAAAGTTGAGAGATTACATTTATTAGATATATTAAATATATATATATATATATATGTCATTGTTGTGAATGTTTATTGAGAATTTTTGAGAAATACCCCTTTTGGTATACCTCTTTTTAAAAATACCCTCTTTATCTATCCATTTTCAAAAATATCTCTTTTTAAATATAAAAAATTATAAAGTTTTATATAGTTTATAAGGTACTTCTATATAATGACTACTACTGGGAGATTCGATACAAATATTTTAAAATATTTTAAATAGTTTTAAATCGTTTTATAAGTTTTATAAGGTTTTTAAAAGGTTTTTAAAAGGGTTTATACGGTTTTTATAAGGTTTTTATAAGGTTTTTAAAATTTACTTTTACGCTATTTATGAAAGGTATATAAAGTTTTATATACATATAAAGGTAATTTGTGTATATATTTATAAGCTTACACACATATTTGGATAAATTTCAACATTTTTAGTGGGTTTTTGATAAAGTTTGAAAAGGGGGTATTTTTAAAAGGAGGTATATGAAAAGGGGTATTTTTGAAATTCCCCCATGTTTATTTTTATTTTAATCATAACTGTTGTATTTAATCATATTCCATATTTTATATTTCATTAGTTTTCTATATAATATTATTTTAATTTTATGTCTCTAATAATAATTTTTGTATTTAATGAATCAAATCAACTATTGAGATTTTTTAATTGAATGTGTTGTCTATACATAAATGACATTCGAAAATTCATGTTTTTTTCGTCCAAAATTTGAAAAATTGTGTTTTTTGACATTTCCGCAACCACCAAGAGGAGATAGCTCCTGGCTGTGTCAAGTGCGCTTCTCTCACCTCATCAATGACTGCACGACAGTTGATCATGGTGGCATCCGAAACTTCTTGAAGAGTGTCATACCTACTGACACGGTTTCGGAAATTGGCGACTGCATCAACATGAGTTATAAACGCTGCACGAAACTCGTTTTTGGTTGTTTTACAATGTTTGTAAGGTTTTAGACAAAAAAAATAACTTATTTATATAGAATAGGTGACACATCAGCCCTTTCTTGCTTTCTTTATCTCATTTTTAGTACTAGATTTATAACATGCGCAAGATTGTAATTTAAATATTTTTATTTTAAATATAATCATATCATTTAAATTTTTAGAAATAAATCAATAAATTATAAATTATGTTATAAAGATATACATAATTATTTCTTTTAGTAATTTTTATTACTAATTATTTTTCATTTAACAAGGTAGACTGTTTTCATTGAGAAATCTATTATCTTTCGTACTATATTATCTCACATATAATTTGTAACACTAACAAACATAATCTCAAGTTTTAAATATATATTTTTATTATACTTGTTATATTATAATCCCATATAATGATATACACCAAATTCTTCTATTTTAACCGATGATATGAATTTATAACTTAACATTAAAACATTGAACAACTTCTTATTTTGATTTTTTGTTTGTTTTATTAGTGTTTTAAAACGAATAAACTTCTTGTGTATTTTAATAAACTCTTGTTAAATTTACCTCATTAGTTGACAAAAATAAAATAATATTAACCTCATTAAAAAAAATTTTAAAAAAAAACTTTTATCATTAAACAATAAGAAACAGTTTTATAGAGGAACACGTAAGATTAGAGCTGTGGCAGTGTGTGAATGCAACCAACGTTCGATTTTGAACGAGTCTAACTTGAGACAAGTCAAAGTTTATATTGTCTGACTCTGAGTGGACGAAACTATCAAATTCTTTGACGACTGATGATGATTCTCAGCAATTTAGAAACTCTCTCTCTCTCTCCAATCACCATAGCAGAAGAAGGCTAAAAGAAACAGAGAAAGAAATAGAGAGAGACGAAACTAGTGATGGGTTGCGACTCTCATGGCAATCTAAGCGAGGCAGAGTTCAGCAAGCCGTTGCCATCGATAGGGGTATACGTTGCTGCTGCTTCACTGATCTGTGGAATTGCCATGTTTTCCGATCTTATTCACGGCTTTCGCCACCGTAAGTTCTGGTTTCCTTGCAAATTCTTCTCTCTCAACGCCACCACTCTCACCTTCATCTCTGTCTGCGTCAAACTCTCCTTGGATCTCAACACTTCTATGCCTAGTCGCCAAGATCAGCTTGCTAAACTCAGCAGCAGCATCTTCGTCTGCACCGTGATGGCTAATTCTATGCCGTCTCTTGGTTTCATGGTCACACAAGATCTCCTCATGAACCTCGTGGCTCTTGGGATTCTGGTTATCACCGATGTTGTCAACATCTGTATCCAATTGGGCACTGGTGCCATCTACGTTTTCCATCCAGAACACGCTGTCGTTACCGTTCTTATGTTTCTAATGTTTATGATCTTGAGTTTCTCTGCTATCACAGTCCCCACTACGAAGCGTTACTTAGAGCTCAAGTACAAGAAGAGATACGAGTTTGCTTTGAAGCAGTGTCCTTCGTATGCAGAGAGAAGAAGAGGGGTTCCTAAGCTCAAAGAAGACCTGATGAAATTCTGGATGATGGCTCACACTTCTAGCCCTCAGTTTGTGATGGCTCGCTCTGTTACTTGCACCACCACTGGTTTCCTCTGTTTCTTGAGTGCAGTCACGTTGGCTGAAGCCATGGTCCGGTCTTACTTTCTTCAGCCCCATTCACTAGGGTTCTGCAATGGAGACTCTGATTACAAATGGTCAACCACTTTGGTTCTAGTCTCTCAGGCAGCTGCAGTTGCCATAGGAACCGTTGCCCCAGCGAGCAGATGGTTTCAGGCAGTGAACTTGAGGTGTCCATCAAGAACAAAGAAATGTCTGAAAGATGAGTTGAAAGTAGAGAGTTATTGGGTAGACTGTCTCGCTGAGAAGAAAGAACGTCCCTTGAATCTAGGGATGCTCCATAATCGCCGCAGCCAGAAGCTTGCGCACGACTTAAACAGATGGATACTTGATGTCTGTATTGCAACACAATATGGTTTAGTGTTGGCTAGTAAATTTCTCCGTTTCATTACGGTATACTGTGTGAGTAAAATATTGCTATGTTGTTCTTATTTCACCTGCAAAAGTGATTCTGTTGCAAACGCTGAGTCCTCGGGTTCAAATCCATCAACGAGACAATTTGTTCTGCATCTTGAAGGGGAGGATGAGCTGGTGGATTACATGGCACGGAGCAACCGTGCGGCCACAGATCACTTGATACAAAAGGGTCTGAAGAAACAACCCTTAAACTTAATAGAGCTCTTGCAGGCAACAACCCCCATCTCACAAGGATTTGAAGGGATTCGAGATTTTGACAGCGACAAGGTCGCTACTCTGGCCTCTGGAGAGCCACCTAATAGTTGGGCCCTTCCACTGGTAACACTGACGAGTATCGTTGTTGCTCTTCCCAACATCAAGCCTCACTCACTGAAGAAGTTAGTGAAAGCTGTAAACGAGGCCTTGTTCTATGTCAACAAGTTCGAAGACGTCCTTGACACCGAAGGAGAGTTAGCTAACAGCAGGAAAGCTGCAGAGGTAGTATGGTTAGGAGTTTATCTCTACCACAAGTGGCTCAACGTGGATCTTCGAAAACTAGCCAAGCAACAAAGAAAAACAGTACAAGAAGTTCTGAAAGAGCTGGTGGATATAGCAAAGAAAGAGTTTACAGAGTCATGGGAGAAAAATCGGATACTGTGCATGAAGCATAAGCCATCTCAGTGGCCTATCAAGACTCAGGCAGCAAACTCGATGTACCGAATCAGCCAAACCCTTTTGACGAAGTACGAATCAAGACACATTGAAACAGAGGAGGCTCTGTTGAAAGATGTGGAAAGAATGGTATCGGACATAGTATCAGGATGCTTTTGCAACACGGCACAGGTAATAGGAATGAAGTGTTTGGTTACAGCAGTGGAAGTGAGGGAAGCGTCGGTGAGAGAAGCGGCAATGCATCTGGGGAAAACAGAGAAGATACTTGAGATCGTTGACAGAAGATGCATGCCTGCTTTGCCTCATGACAAAGTGGCAAAGATTGATGAATGGAGAGAGTTTTATAGAACCAATAAGTCAATCTCTTTGACTCATCCTTCGTCTCAGTGTACCACCCGTGAACTCATTCTCAACCTAGAATAAAACACTTTTTGTCAAATCTAAATAATTAATTACGTTTCCCAGTTAGCAAATAATATCCTGCTTTTTGTACATGATAATTAAAACTCAGTTTAGCAATACGTAAGCTACCTAGCTCTAAGCCTCTAAAGCTACCTTTGTTGATGCACAAATCAAAACTATCCAGTCGAGCACTAATTTATTCACAGTTTTCAATCTATAAATGTTGAATGTGTCAATATAATCTAGATTTAGCAAGACTAATTACCCCGGTTTTCCCGAATCTCCTAACAAATAGATGTCAGTTCACTAATATTTTGACTCATTTTTCTATATATACCCCCAAAATGATGAGTACTAAGACATATCTTGGCTTTACAGCACCGTCAGAATACAACAAACTAAGGATGCTAGATGATTATAGGGATATTGATGATTGTTTCCTAACTAGGACATATAATATGGTGGATAATCATATAATGGATTCAATTGCGTCATGGAGCCAAAGCGGTAAGAGTTTCATCATTTGGAATCCGAAGAAGTTTACTGCACTCGTGTTGTTTTACTACAGGTTTGAGAATTTGTTGCCACTCATACTTTCCGGCTATGTAAGTTTGAGTTTATATATGTTCAATCATATATGATAGTTAATTATTAATGTTTCAATTTTTTTATAATTTCGTTTCACTTTTTGCAGGGTTTTAAAAGGGTTGGATTCGAGAGACATGAATATGCAAATGATAATTTTGTGCGAGGCCACCATCGACTTATGAAAAACATTCCGACACCAAACCTCTTCACCACACAGGAAAGTATTATGAATCGAATTGGGAGACTCACAAAGGAGAGAAATGAGTTGATTGGAGAGTTACATAAACAAGAGATACAAATAAAAGAACTCAAGCATCGTTTGCAACATCAAGGAGTTTGCAAATTATAAACTAATAAAGCTTTTTCTATTCTCGAATTTTGAACTAAAGCTTTTCTATTCTCTTTTTGTTGCTACGGTAGAACAACTATACCCTTAAGTAAAAGAGAAGAAAGTTCTACCCTAATTTGTTTTATAATTAGGTCGTCAACTTTGCTTCGTTGACAAGGCAAAAACTACTCTTAAGTCTTTAGACAGGTGCAAGTAAACCATGTCAACAAAAACTGCTTTTTGGTTTTGGTTTTGGTTTTGGTTCTTTTGATAAAAGTGTCAAATTGTAAAACCATCTTGAGGGACTTGAAATAATGGTAAAACAGGGTGCTGTTCCCTGTTTCCGACCAAAGACTGTTTTAAATTAGATTCGGACCAAACAACTTGTCAATTTAAAAGGACAAAGCAAAAGTTCAAATGTCAATTTATAAATAAATAATTTGGAAATAAAAAGGACCAACAAACATGTCAAAAGTGATGTCATCATCTCCTCTATAAGTAGAGATACAGTTCCCACTCACAGAGGTCACACCCAAATTCGAAGAAACAGTATCATCAAACCAAATCCCTAAAAGTAATGGAGAAGAACGCATCAACTTCATCATTGAATGACTTGGGTCCGAGTGGTCTAGATCTAACCAGCGCCTTCTTCAAACCGATTCACAACTCCGATCCTCCTCTCCCTTCAAACCGATGTACAAAGATCTCCGTCGTCGGAGTCGGCAACGTCGGGATGGCCATCGCTCAAACCATCCTCACTCAAGATCTCGCCGACGAGATCGCTCTCGTTGACGCCAAGCCTGATAAGCTTCGTGGCGAGATGCTCGATCTCCAACACGCTGCTGCTTTCCTCCCTCGAACCAAGATCACCGCCTCTGTTGATTACGACGTCACCGCTGGATCTGATCTTTGTATCGTCACTGCTGGTGCAAGACAGAATCCAGGCGAGTCTAGACTCAATCTGCTTCAGAGGAACGTTGCTCTCTTCCGCCATATCATTCCTCCGCTGGCTAAAGCTTCTCCTGATTCTATCTTGCTCATTGTTTCTAATCCTGTCGATGTTTTGACTTACGTTGCTTGGAAGCTCTCTGGTTTTCCGGTGAACCGGGTTCTTGGATCTGGTACTAATCTCGATTCCTCTCGGTTCCGGTTCTTAATCGCAGATCATCTCGACGTTAATGCTCAGGATGTACAGGTCTGTTCTTACCAAAATTAGGGATTTTGTAATCGCAATTTTTATAGTTTCCTTTTAGTTGCAGTTTTTGTGATCAGATGATTGATTAAAAAATCTGTCGTTTTAGCTTAATACTGCGATTAAGGAGTGATTAGCTTGATTTTATGGCTTAGTATGTATGGTAAAAATCTATGCTTTAGTGGTTTTATTTACTGCAATTGAGGAGTGATCAGGTGTTAATAGCTCCGATGATAATGTATTGTTGAGATGATCAATTGGAGAGTGAAACTGGCTATTGTTTGATTGGTTTGTTGCAGGCCTTTATTGTCGGAGAGCATGGAGACAGTTCGGTCGCATTGTGGTCGAGCATAAGTGTTGGAGGCATCCCTGTCCTAAGTTTTCTAGAGAAGCAACAGATTGCTTACGAGAAACAAACCCTTGAGGATATCCATCAAACTGTCGTTGGCAGCGCTTATGAAGTCATTGGACTCAAGGGTTACACTTCTTGGGCCATCGGCTACTCTGTTGCTAATCTGGCTCGCACTATTCTTCGTGACCAGCGCAAGATCCATCCTGTCACGGTTCTTGCTCGTGGATTTTATGGTGTTGAAGGGGGTGACGTCTTCCTCAGCCTCCCTGCTTTGCTTGGACGCAATGGTGTGGTTGCTGTGACTAATGTGCATATGACTGATGAAGAGGCTGAGAAGCTGCAGAAATCCGCAAAGACTATATTGGAGATGCAGAGCCAATTGGGACTTTGAAAATCCCATCTCTCTGCTTCAATTTTATAACTCTTTTTTTTTGGTTATGATCCCATGGATGATGGTGTGTCAATGTTGATCTTTTATGTTATGTAAATGCTTTTTAATGCATAAATTTGAGTTCTGTTTTGAAGTAATGACTGAAACATATGAATAATGGGATGGTTAGAGAGATTCTTAGGGTATTCGTTACAACAAACTTGAGTGTGAGTTAGTTCAATAGACATGGTTGATATATGAAGATTTACTGACTAAAGCAGTCATAATTCATTCACTTACATTGCACGAAAAACCTTTTCTTACGATATATTGCGCCTTTTGCAAGGTAATTTGCACAAATATTAATGCAAAAGATGTAATGAATAGAAAAAGAAATAGAAAGAGGTTTTTGTGTTCATAATATCATGATTCATGATGATGATTTTGTGGCACAAAAATATCCTCTTTTGTGTTATCGTGCATTTTGCAAGACAGTTTGCACAAACATTTATTAGATAAAAAAATTTGACGAATAGAAAAAAAAAATTAGGTTTTTAAGTTTCTAACATCATGAAAACAATTTTGGCGCGAAAATATTGCGTCTTTTATAAGATAGTCCGCATAAACATTGATATATATTTATCGGGAAATATGATGAATAGAAAAGGAAATAGAAAAAAGTTTTTTAAATTCTTAACAATCTAACATTACGAATATCGACTATGATTTTCCCGCGAATATACTTTCTATTCGTAGCATTGCGTTTTTTGCAAGATAATCCGCACAAACATTGATAGTTCGGATTTCGGAAAATATATGAAATGCAAAAGAAAAACAGTGATCAGGTTTATATTTCTTGTTAATTGGTTATTTTAGAGGACTATGAGGGCCTATGAGCATTGAATTTGAAACCAACATAATAAAAGATGAGGTGGCACGACTCATATACTAAAAATGTGTGACAATCCAACCAAATAAGCAAAGAGATCTATCTGAAAGCTCAAAACGGAGAAGGCGAGGGAAGAAGAAGAAGAAGAGATAAGCATAGTGAAACCCTAGTGGAGGATTGAAAAGAGAGAGCTTTTAAGTCTAGCCAGGGGCATCATACAACTACGATACAATTCGTGCGTCTTAAAAGAAGGTGGTTCTGCTGCTGATCCTGGCCGAAGATTAGTCTCCGCTTCTGGTTGCTCCGGTGGAGACGTAGGAGAGATGAGGGGTCTTTTCAAATCCAAACCACGGACTCCTGCTGATATTGTTCGTCAGACTCGCGATCTCCTCCTTTACGCTGATCGATCCAACTCCTTCCCTGACCTCCGAGAATCCAAACGCGAGGAAAAGGTTTGTTTTTTCTTTCCCCCATCCCTCGCTGCTTCAGATTTTGCAATTTCTGCCCTCAAACCTGATTTTTCGTTGTCGGTTTCTGAAACTTTCTGATATGAATGAATCATTGTGATTCAATTGATAGAATCCTGAGGTTTGAGTTTCTGATAATTGCTTGTAGCTGGTGGAACTAAGCAAGAGCATACGAGATTTGAAGTTAATTCTCTATGGAAACAGTGAGGCTGAGCCTGTAGCTGAAGCTTGTGCTCAGTTGACTCAGGAGTTCTTTAAGGAGGATACTCTTCGCCGCTTGCTTACATCTCTTCCTAATTTGAACTTGGAGGTAACATCTCGTCTTCTCATGATTCAATCTGAAGATAGGCAGCTATTTGATATGATGTTGACGGTATGCAACAATTCAATAAGAAGAAATTATCTTTTTTTTTGGTTAGGCCAGGAAAGATGCTACTCAAGTTGTTGCAAATCTTCAGAGGCAACAAGTCAATTCACGTCTTATCGCGTCGGATTATCTCGAATCCAACATTGATCTTATGGACTTTCTAATCGATGGGTGAGTTTAGGAGATGGATTTGGTTAATGGCTTCCAAATTATAAGTCTTCTTTTAAGATCATGATCTTATAAGGTTTGTTTTATCATTCATATGAGTTTCTGTGATTTCTCTCAGGTTCGAAAACACAGATATGGCGCTACACTATGGTACCATGTTTAGAGAGTGCATCCGCCATCAGATTGTTGCAAAGTGAGCAAATCTTATATTTTCTTTGCTTACGACTTTACATTCTGTATGTTTTTGTACATAAAGCGACAATCTTCTACCAAATTTTTATATAGTAGAAACAGTTCACTAGTGATATTTCAGTCGGGAATAGTACAATGAAAGCTGCTTCTCTTTCTATGGTTCAGATATGTTTTGGATTCACAGCACGTGAAGAAGTTCTTTTACTACATACAGCTTCCCAATTTCGACATCGCTGCTGATGCTGCTGCAACTTTCAAGGTTCGGAAACACTGAAACATACTTGCAAATTTGCAATAACCCTGCCATCACAATTGAGATTTTCTCTAAAGCACGCCATCATAATTCCAGTTCTGTGATTTTCTTCTTGCAGGAACTTATGACAAGGCACAAGTCTACAGTTGCTGAGTTTCTCATTAAGAATGAAGACTGGGTAAGTTTTCTTACTGTGTACCAAATCATAAAATATTGCTTCAAAGCTTATGTATTTTGTGTTCATCTCTGACAGTGCGTAATGATCTGGTATGACTCTGTTTTGATTTACAGTTTTTTGCAGACTACAACTCAAAGCTTCTTGAATCAAGTAATTATATAACTAGACGGCAGGCTATTAAGGTAAAGTAACTTGTATAGGGGTGATAATATCACAAAAGGATAATCACGAAATAACAGTGACAGCATTCTGAATTCTGATGGATTGCTTTGTGTAAAATTTTACAGTTGTTGGGTGATATACTACTGGACCGGTCAAATTCAGCTGTGATGACGAAATATGTGAGCTCAATGGATAACTTAAGGATTCTGATGAATCTTCTCAGAGTATGATGATGCTTTACCCCATACCTCATATGATTTTATTTGGTGTCTGGCTCTGCCTAACAGGGTTGATATTGGATATAAACTGAAACCTGTGGACAAAAAACTCTCTTGCAGGAATCAAGCAAGACCATTCAAATAGAAGCTTTCCATGTTTTCAAGGTATCTTTCTGTACTCTGAAAACATAGAGTAGTTTTACCCAGTGAAGATTGGATTATTCGGATTTTGTCGAGTGTCCGTTTTGATGTGTTTGTAGTCTGAGTTTTGATGGTAAAGACTTAAAGGGGCAATCAAAGTGTACTGACATTATTGTTTTCGTACAGCTATTTGTAGCTAACCAAAACAAGCCTTCAGACATCGCCAACATTTTGGTGGCGAACAGAAACAAACTTCTGAGATTGTTGACCGATATCAAGCCGGACAAAGGTATGGAACTTGTCTTATGAGATTCTTGTATCACAAGTGATTGGACCCTATTCTCACTTTTAACAAAATTCTTATGTTTATGATTCATGTTTGTTTTGTGGCAGAGGACGAGAGGTTTGAAGCAGACAAGGCTCAGGTTGTGGGAGAGATCGCAAATCTGAAGCTGCGAGAGCTTCCTTGAGCTCGCACATATGCACAGAGAAGCTCGTGCTTTCTGTTTAATCTTTGAAAGATATTTTTGGAACATCAAAGATTTGTTGTTACGTATTTATTAGGTACTCATATCTCTTTCTCTCTCTCTCAGTGACTAAGCTGTTGACTGGTATGGATCTTTTAGATTATATGAATTCACATGTACACTCATTTAGTTTGGATCAAATGAAATGCCATTATAAATCCTACATCCTGAATGCAAAAAAATCATAAATGCATATGGGAACCAGGCGTTAAACCTACTGAAAATGGATAGATAAGCGGATAAAACATATAAATCACTCTCTCTATGCACATAGAAAAATAAGCAAGTCTAGTGCTAGTCTTAAGCATACTGAGACCGAGCCCCGTTGGATGCTCCATGCTGAGCCGGTTTAGCCTCCAGTTTCTTTCTCTTAATGACTACGTACCAAGTGAAGGCTTCAAGGAGGGTGGCCACAATGGCAAGAGCAACAATGATACCGATGTAAGCATCTTTCCACTGCTTCTTGGGACTCAATATGCCTAACCCTTTGAAAACATTCACCACCCCTAGGATGATTATCGTGTAGCCGATAGTGTGGTGGTAAATGTTCCAGTAGAGCCTGTGCTTGTGCTCTGGTTTTGGCCTCAGAAACATAGCAAACACCTAATGCAACTAACCGGTTAATAAAGCTATATACCCATATATTACAGGTTTTCTTTTGAATGTGAAGTGTGTACTGTACCTGAATTGTTGCTAGAGAGAAGAGCGCGATCCCGATAGAACGGTGGGTGCTATACCGAATCCCAGGTGAGTCGCCACCAAGTTTGAGACCAGTAGCCCATCCGGCAACGCCGATGATGTAGGCAGAAGCCTGGCAGAAAACGTGAATGTAGAACCAAGCAGGGTCTGCTGATTTGGCCACTCTCAAGTATCGAGCAATGATTGCCCCTATTGGCATCATTATTCCCCAGCTCACAGCGTTCAAGATTCCATGAATCTGCTCACCATATTTTGACCAAAACCAATCATTATTCTCTGTTGGCCAATTAAAGAAATTAGGGAAAGAGATGTGTCAACAGAAGAATAAACTCACGTTGCGTTTGCGAAGCTTGGAACTTCCTCCAGCTCCACCCGCAGCTGCTGAAACACCAGAGACCAGATTGAGAGTGGACATGGAGCGAACATTGTTGCCAGAAGTTGGATGAGGCAGAGCACTGTTCCCAGACATTGACCCATCTTGCCACAGTGTGTTAATGGTACCACCATTACCCAGATCCTGTGAAAGCTTCAGACTTGCCAACACAACAATCTCATTGTTCTGGTAAGTTGCAGACAAACCAGAGACGTTGAAGCTCAGATCACCCTCTTGTAGACTCGTCTGGTAGCTTTTGATGGGGGAAGTGTAAACCCTGACGGTGCCGTCTGATTGTGGGTAAGCCACGATGGCTTGAGCTCCCACCATGCCCGTAGACGTAGGGTTCACAGCCCAAGCCACCCATTTGCCAGAGGTGAGCTTGGTGTGGCGATAAGCGATGTGGAGGCTCCCAGTGGAAGAATCGTAAGTGTAATGGAGGAAAGAATCAAGAAAAGGGAGGTCGTTGCAGGAGTCAAAGACATTGTTGCTGGAGAATTTGTATTTGGAACATGTCTGAGCAAAGGACAGGGAAATGGAAAGGAAAAGGGAGAGACAGAGGATTTGATTGAAAAACTTCATCACTGAGATATGAATGAACTCAATGGGGATCACAGAAGGGTTAGTAAAGAAACAGACTCAGATGTAAAAGAGAAGGGAGATGGTTGAAGAAAGAAGGAGGAGAGAAAGAGAGATTTAAATATGAAGAGAAAAAGTGGGGTTAGCTTTGTTGGTTAAGCTGTCTAATAAAAGAATCATCATAACTACAGTATTTCTCTTTTCTTATTTGATCAAATTATGCGTATTAGGCTTTTATTTTCCTTTTTGTACATTTATTTAGCATAAGTAAGTGTGTGATCTATATAACATTAAAATCAATAGCTCACTACAACTTAAGAAATGCAACAATAATGCTCGTTGACTAGAGCACAGTTTCTTATCTTTAGGGTAAAAAGCAAGAGCCTCTAGTTAACAGGTTAGGGTAAAAAATAAGAAAAGAAGAAGAAGGGTTAATAATGGTGAGGGTCAACAACAACTGGTTCACACCTGTCTTGCTTGCCTTGGTTTTTACCAACCTCTCTCTCTCTCTCTCTCTCTATCACACAACTACTATTGGGTAGGCAGGCATCTCTAACCTAAAAGTAAGTAAAAATAATTGATACTATTTAGAACTTATTAATTTGTCTTTTACTTACACTAATATATGTGATGTGTGGAACCATAGATACTTTATAATTAACCCAAAAAAAATGAAAGGACAAGGAGGAGTGAATGCAGGTGAGCAACCGCACCAGTCTGTGGGAGACCCGATGCCAAGTGGTTGAGGTTTGGGTTTCTCTCTACTTTCAAGAGAGTTTTTAGTTTAGTGTTTTCATTTGGTCAAAATCTCAACTGCCTCCATGTGGATGTTGGACCCCTTTGCTTCCACGTGTCTATCAAGTTTACCTCATCTAGTCAACGCTTTTGAGAATTGAACCCTCAAACCCTAAACCTCTCTGTTCGTCTTTGCGTGACCCCTCCATGTACTTTTAACACATAAATATTCCAAGAAAAACAAAAAAAAGAGAGAAGTGTCAAGAGTGGGATTTGAACCCACGCCCTTTCGGACCAGTACCTGAAACTGGCGCCTTAGACCAACTCGGCCATCTTGACGTTTTTTCATAAAGAGTATATATTTAAAATATAAACCGAATATGTGTAATAGCCCGCTCACTATGATGATGAGAGCAGCAATATATTTCACAACAAACATAGTGCAATAATATTATACTAACTACTAGCATTTAATATAGATGTCTCCATACACTTATGCTCGAGTTTGACACACGACAATTACTAAAAGACACATGGTTTGGTAATGAATGACTTTGAGTCTCTCAGCTTTTTAAATGTTTTGATTTCAGTAAGCTGTTACGAAACTCTTGGATATATTTATAACAAAAAAAAAAAAAAACAACAACAGAGATTGTATATGCCTCTCCATGCACACTGTTAAGTAATTGATTCCTCGTTGACCCAATAACTTCATCTCACACAATTTCTTGAAAAGATGGTCTTATATAATTTAAGATTTTTACTACCTTATCGATGGTGTGCATGTAAACGTGATAGTTCTCAACCCATCATAACTAGTCCAAAATGAAAACAATAAATTGGACCAAGCACATATTTACCCCTTCTATTTTTCATGTTAACTTCTAGTAAATTAATCAGTAAAACTTAAGTTTTTTAACTTTCAAAGTGATTTTTTCATTCCATCTTTTAGCTAGCTTGGGAATTAGGATGTCTCATATTCGATTACAAGTATCTTAAGTTGGGAATTAAACTGTCATTAATCACTTTTCATCTTTCAACCCTATTGCAATACGTGTTTAACTAATTAAAAATTCTTATATGCCAATCCTATTGATCGAGAGATGTTTCTGATTACAAGTAATTCGATATAATTAATAAGAGACTAGTGGAACCCTGTTAAATTATTGTTACTCTGAACCTCTTTTTGAATCTTTCTAATGTCCAAGATATATAGTAGGTGATGGGCCTCTGGACTTCTAATGGGCCTAATTCGGGTGACAATTTACGGGGCGGGTTAAATGAAATCGAGTCGGGTGAATGTTCCATATGAGGAGGAGTGGGTTGGGTTGGCGCAATCCCAAACAGTGAAAACAATTCGATTAAAATGGCGGCCGCGTTTCTGCCGGCGACCTCTCTCCGTTTAACTCCATACTCTACTCTCCGCTTCTTATCCTTCTTCCCTATATCTAATGCTTCTCATTCTCTCCTTCGCCCTCTTCGCCGCCGAGTTCTCCCTCTCTTCGAAGCTTTTCCGGCCAATTCTCGCCGGCGATACTTTTGCACAGCTGTTTCGGAATCTCTCGGTTCCGGAGAGGGGAAGAAAGTTGATAATTATGAGAAGCAATTTGGAAGTAAAGTTGGAGAGTTCAGGAAGAAGTTGAAGATTGCGGAAGTGAAAGGAGGAGCAGACGAAGGGCTGAGCCGCGTCGGGCAGAGTCTTAACATTATGGGTTGGGTCCGGACACTTCGATCTCAGAGCAGTGTCACATTCATTGAGGTAATTCGCATTCTCTGTTCATCTTTCTGTATCAATCTCTTGTTTGGTTGCTGAATGTATCGTTTGATTGCTGACAAAGTTTTGGTTTTGATTTAAATTTGGTGTGTGTTTGAAGATAAATGATGGTTCATGTTTATCGAACCTGCAATGTGTGTTGAATTCGGATGCAGAGGGGTATGATCAGGTAATCACTTTGACCTGAGAACAATGTAGATTTAGGAGTTAGGAGCCTTAAATTCTTGAATTATATATATAAACCCCTGTGATAACAGTCAGACTATTGGGAATAATAGGTAGAATCTGGTTCTATTTTGACTGGAGCATCCGTATCTGTACAAGGTACTATTGTGGCCAGCCAGGGAACAAAGCAAAAGGTGGAACTTAAAGTTGAGAAAATCATTTTGGTAAGTCGTTTCTTCTTCTACTTTGGACCCTGAACTTTACTTCCTTGAGATCGAAACTCGAAAATATATATTCTTATGAATTTTCACTTACTCCCACTTTATCGTAGGTTGGAAAGTGTGACTCTTCTTATCCCATCCAGAAGAAACGGGTCAGCCGGGAATTCTTGAGAACCAAGGCTCATCTACGTCCAAGAACCAATACTTTTGGGGCGGTAACTTTTCTTTTTCATTCACCTTATATACTTTCCTGAAACTCCAAACTGTAGACTCCTGTTACCTTCCTGGAATTTAATGTATCATCTCACCTAGAAACGCCACTCTTACTAGAAACTGTTGAAAACTGTTTTATGTTGAAAACTGCCTCTATTGCTCACCTTTCAGGCTTCTCTTTATTGAAACTTGACTGTGAACTTACAGTCTTGTGATGATTACAGATTCTACACTTTTGAAATATGTAAAACATCTTGTTTCAGGTGGCGAGAGTTAGGAATACTTTGGCATATGCTACACACAAGTTCTTTCAAGAAAGTGGTTTTGTTTGGGTGGCAAGTCCAATTATTACAGCGTCAGATTGTGAAGGAGCTGGAGAACAGTTCTGTGTCACTACACTCGTAAGGACCTTAGCTCTCAACATCTTAGTATTCTCCAATAAACCAAGAACTACAGTTCTCATGGAAGAAAAATAAAAGTACACCTGAACTATACTTTAAATTTTTAGATTCCCAGCTCCCATGAGAACACCAATACTTCCATTGATGCAATTCCAAAAACAAAGGGAGGGTTGATCGATTGGTCTCAGGTGTGTTCCTGCTCCCTATATTTTGTATTTAAGAATGGTAGAATATGAACTTGCAACTGTAACAAGTTTGATGGATATATCACTCTTAGGACTTCTTTGGGAAACCAGCATTCTTGACCGTCTCTGGGCAACTCAATGGAGAAACTTATGCAACCGCTCTCTCAGATGTAAAAGTTTATTCCGCAAGTGATTGTGAGCTAGATTTTGGTTAGTAAGTGTCTGACTTTATCATTTGTATAACGTTACAGGTATACACATTTGGTCCTACATTTCGAGCTGAGAATTCCAACACGTCGAGGCATTTGGCCGAATTTTGGGTCAGCATTATTAAATTCTCCAGCCAAACTCACAATTGAATTTTTCTTACCTAAGTGCAATATACTGAAGACCTCTCTTTCTATACCATATAAGATGATTGAACCCGAACTTGCTTTTGCCGACCTGGATGATGACATGGCCTGTGCCACCGCCTACCTCCAGTACGTAGTATGTTACTCTTTCACTTTATATTTCCCTCAAAGGCTCAAACTAAATATCTGATTTTGTTATGTCATTTAGATTTAACTTGATTTATCTCTTGATATTCTGATAGGTAAAATACGTTCTTGATAATTGCAAGGAAGACATGGAGTTTTTCGATACATGGATTGAGAAAGGAATCATTCGTCGTTTGAGCGTATGTCCTCCAATTCTTGCTCTGTGATCAGAAAATAATGTTATGCAGTTTGCACCGGCTGATATTATTATTGGTTTACTATTTATCTTGTTAAGGACGTAGCTGAGAAAGAGTTTCTACAGCTTGGTTACACAGACGCCATTGAACTTCTTCTGAAAGCAAACAAAAAATTTGATTTTCCGGTAAGGGCTATACTTTTTTCTTTATGGAATAGATTTAAACTATAAATTTTGTGAGCTATTAGTGTAACTGTTTGTGTTTTTGGTATTTTCTGTGTAAGCAAGCTGTGATTTCATATTCATTTCTAGTGGGTAGGTTCTTAAAAATGATATTATTTCATAGTCGCATCGCATGTGAGTAGAAACATCAAATGTTGGTTGCCTGATAGAGCTGTATGTTGCAGGTGAAGTGGGGGCTGGATCTGCAGAGCGAGCATGAAAGGTACATAACAGAAGAGGCATTTGGGGGTCGCCCAGTGATAATAAGAGACTATCCGAAGGAGATAAAAGCATTCTATATGCGGGAGAACGATGATGGGAAGACAGTGGCAGCAATGGATATGCTTGTGCCTCGGGTAAGATTAAGATAATACAAAATCTTGTTGATAATAAGAAGTTGTTGTAGTGAATGATGATGGTGGTTTTGAGTTTGAAAAGATAGGAGAGCTGATAGGTGGAAGCCAGAGAGAGGAAAGGCTCGAGGTGTTGGAAGCAAGGCTTGATGAGTTGAACCTCAACAAAGAGAGCTACTGGTGGTACCTCGACCTACGCCGCTATGGATCAGGTCTCGTTCTTCTCCTTATTCTATGAATTAAAAGATAGAAACTTTGGGAGGCTGACGAGTTAGTGCCTTTGTTATTGTTTGTGTGTGTAGTTCCTCACGCAGGATTCGGGCTAGGGTTTGAAAGGCTGGTCCAATTTGTCACTGGAATTGACAATATCAGAGATGTTATTCCTTTCCCCCGCGCGCCTGCCTCTGCCGAATTCTAATTAATTCTTGACTCTCCAGTGCTCCACATTTCCTCCAAATTCTTGCTCTTATGTGTCATTTGAGATAAACCAGAAACAAAGAAAAACCTCAAAAGAATTAATTGTTTGTTTCAAATTTTAAAATATATTTGTAAATGTACTACTCTCCCCCTTTCATAAAAATTGATTTTTTGGTTTTGTTCCAGTAGATTAATTTATTATTGTTTACATTTCTATGTAACTTTTACGTAAACTAATGTTGATGATAAGGTGTGAACTTCAGAATATCATTTACAGTATATTCAAGTAATGGGTAAAGAAAAGATGGTGTATGTATAATTAATAATTATACTCTGAACAAAGTAAGTTCTACTTATTTACTGAAAGATGCAACAAAAGCTGACCATTTGAACTACATTGCTCTCAATCTCATCAGAGATATAAGTACATGAGATTTTGTAATTATTCGTCACATAAAGGAATGAGAGACTTCTTATCTCTAAGTTTGACAAAGGGAAGAAAAGAAACAAACTCTTCTGATATCCTTTCCCTTCCATGGTTAAAACCTTCATGACGGTTTTCGAGTCACCTTGGAACTGAAAGGCCAAGCTCTAGAGCAAAAAACCATAAATGAGCACCAAGATTAATATTAGGGCACTGATGGTGGTAAAGAAACAAAGTTGGATGCATATGGCTTAATGATTCTACTATAATGTTTTAGGAAAGGTTTTACGAATCATACAGAAACCAAAATATGACAAAACAATGCTACCTTTAAACTAAACTATAACGTCTCATCTAAATTAGATCCTTCCAAATCTAACTTGTCAAGGATCACTGGTGACAGAACCCATCTTCAAAACAAACTGCAAACACAGACATCTCACGTGCCATCGACTCCATCTGGACAAAGAACATTTTATAGATTACTACGTTACTGTGACACTCTTATAAACACATCAAGAAGTAACTTGCAGAAACTGGCATTCACACAAAAAGCAAAAGCAAAATATGATGACAACTGATGCGATTTGGCATTATGTTTACCAAGTGTCCAGTTCAAGTTCTGCATCTTTTCAGTTCTTTAGCCCAACTAAGTTACCCAATCGTTTATTTCGCAGATTTCATTTTCATTACTGGAAGTTAAAAAAAGATTGTCTGAACTTGATATATATGCAAGGGTCATATGAATTTACGTTCCTGCATTAACCAAGTACTCATATTAAGACACTAAACCTCAAAACTCTTATAATCCTCCAGAAATGGTGTCACGCAGCAAATATACAAAGTTGTTTCCTACTTGTTTTAAACCCAAAGATATAAATCTTACCCCACTGAGCCACACTCTGCAACTAATGCACCGGACAAACAAAGACTTGAGGAGTACTCTACTTTCCACTTAACCAGATAAACTAGTCTCAAGCAAGAAATTTCGTAAGTCCAAGATTCCACGCAGCTATGAGAAGCAAAGTTATCAGACACATTCAGTCAGCAATCTGTCAGCTCCTAAAATCTATCTATTATTGGATCAGCTCCTAATGCACATTGGAGCGCTTTTGTTTCAATTTAAGTAACTACTACTATAGCCATCGATCAAAAGCAAGCAGAGAAGAGCTAAAATGAGCTGCTAAGTTTGAAACAAAGAAGCAGAGTAAATGCAAATGGAGGAAAGCAAAAAAGTGAACTCACAAGAAAAGTAAAGAGAAAAACATTAGAGGTCGGGAGAGGTGCAGCAGAGTGTACCCTGAGAGAGAGCTCGGCTACTCCTCGAAGTTGTGCTTAGGCAAGAAGTCAGCCTCGCTGCTGCCACAGTGCTATGCAGCGGTAACAACGATTGAACACATCCCAGCTCCGATGGACACCTTAAGAGGTTGATACACATTTGCTAAACATTGTCGGATAAAAGGAGATGAAACCGGGTATAATTCTACATACGGACGCAGAGATGCAATACCTGGAGAATGAGAAATGGCGAGAGGGTTGAGAAGGTATACGAAATCCGGGTGATGAGGCAGCCGGCGTAGATCCGGTGGTCGATCTGAGGGCGGACTTGAGGGAAGAGACGGAAGCTCTGTTAAACATCTTACGACAAGCAGAAGCCATTATTACCCAGAGAAGACGAAAATACACGACCAATGTGATCGAAAGATCGGGGTTTTTGTAAGGCTTTATCAAATATTAACAAATATCTCTCCGTTTTGAGCTTTTATCGGATAAAAAAGCTTTGACTTTTAAAAATGTGAAGTAATCCAAAATTGTTACGTGATTACTTCTAATGAGGAATTGATAAGCTCATTCATACATTTATTGCATATAAAGTACAACAGAAACGGACTAGAAATGATCATAGGATGATGGTAGAAACCAAAAGGGTTGATTAAGAGGAGCAAATGGAGTTAGAGAGATAAATTAGGACAATAATCAAACTACATGTACAACTTCTTCTTATCTCTCCAGAGAGATTTTCCCGACAACATGACTGACTAAATAATCAAAAGCAAATAATTCACACCTACAATAACACAACCATCATTTTGTTTTCTTCTCTTCTACGTATTACGTCTCCTCTCCCAACCAACAACGAAGTTTGTTCTTTTCTTAGAGCATATAACTAAAATTAAAAACAACCTAATAGCAGCTCACACTGCCTTTTTCTTGTTTCCTCCACTTGGGTTTATGTGCATTGCTTCTGCTCCTTCACTTACCTGTCAACCACATCATCAACAGTAAGCTAAATATGATTCCTTCCAAGTTTATTTCACTATTCACCACTCTTATCACATCACCTCTACTGCTACTTTTTGCTTTGACTTTGGTGACTTTTGCTGTGTGATACCGAAGGTATTTTCGAGGTCATCATCGACGTTTGCAGACCTTCAAGTAGCTGCAAAGCAACACACACAGGTTTTTAGAGAATTCTTTCCCGACCAGAATTCAGGGACATTATGCAAACTTCAACATTTTAGCACTTACTCTAGAAGTTGGCTGGATCCTGCGGATAGATCTACGTGGCTCCATTCCCTCTGATGTTTTTGAAGAATTCTCAGCCAAAGCCTTATCCTCTTCGATTTTGGCTAACCTTCCTGCAGTAGGAGCCACTTTCCCTTTGTTAGTACTCGAGGAGGAACTATTCTTGGAACCAGCATCATGGGAGGATGATGTTGTTTGCTCTTCTACTGTTTCCTTTAATGGAACGCCAGATACAGGACCCTTGTTTTCTGCATTCTCATCAGCAGCATCATCGGATTCCATATATGAGGCTGTTGTACTACGCGAGTCCTTGCGGGGAATTATCCTAGCCGCAGCACCTAGTTTCTCTTTGGGTTTGGGTGCAGGTTTGAAAGTCTTGGGCTTAGATATTGTTGTCTGTTGTTTCTCTCTAGATATATTTTTAGCAGGCATTCTCCAGCTACCTATTCCAGAATTTTGGGGCACAATTGATTTCACAGGCTTTGCTGGTTCCTTCCGTTCCCGAGTTTTAGTGCTTGCCTCTGAAATGTAGTGTTTGCTCACGTCCATGAACTTCCTTTTCTTTCCAGGTTTGGGGACGCCAAAAATCACTTTTGATCCTTGCTTTTGCAAACCAGTTCTCTTCATTCGGAGTTGATCAGGTTTGTTCTCCTCTCTGGTACTCCTTCCAATGTTAAATGTATTCTCTGAAACACCGAGGTCAAGAACACCAGTCTGAGGTGGTTTTCCTAAGTCTGGATCATCAACAATCTTAATACTCTTGTCTTTTATTTCGGCCTCAAAAGTGGCGGTTCCTAATCTAGGTCGCTTCTCCTTTGGGGTATCACCCTGCAATTCAAAATTTTCAGTCTTGCCAAGCCACAGCATCCAAAAGAGAAGCCTTTACCATAAAAGGGTGAGAATACCTCATGTGCCGAGCTGATGTTTTCTCCTGAACTAGAACATTCAATCCACTTTCCATCTTTCCACTCAAGAGAAGGTCGAAGATTCCAAGCTTTAATCGTCAAAGTGTCTCCTTGTGCTGCAGTATATTTTTAAGAGAAAAAAAAGAAAGTTTTGAGAACAGTGGATCACAATAAAGCAGTTTAGAGGCTTAGAGCACAATAAAATAAGATATCTTCATCAGGCACATTGGCCTCTTTACAAACCAGGAAAATGCACAGTCACTGTATTTTCATCTTTCTTGTTCTTCTCTGTGATAACACCCTCCAACCAACTGAAGGAAACAAAACAAATATACATCAAGTTTCCAAACTTAGTGAATGATGATTTCAAAAAAAGGAAAATTAAAATAAATACAGAGTTTCCGCTTTGGTCTGATCGCTGTTAGGGGAAAGCACTAAAACAGCTGGTTATAGAGACAGTGATTACCTGTCATCCACCCACGAGTCTACCCTATCCCCAATTTTCCAAACATGATCCCCAATAGCAGCTCTACGTCTCTTCCTGGTTCCTTCATATGGCATGGCAGTAACAGAACGAGCAGTTCTTATTTTAGGGGCTTGATCGCCTTCGCCTTTGACAGATACCCACTCCTTCAGCTTATCTGTTCCTGATAAAAATAATATAAACGGATCAATTAATAACGCAATGGAGCCTCTTTGTGGAAGCTTCAGTGATTGTTAATTTTTGCAACCTTTCAAATAATTTTACATGCATTTAATATAATAATGGAAGTGGGTGGTTCCACAGGATTACATATTTACCTATATTTGGAAGAATTTGTGAACTAAAAGATATATTGATAATAACAAGGTTTAACGAAAACCATTTTGTAACTACACAAACCTTGTTCTTCAGAAAGATCACTGAACAACACATAAGCTTTATCATCCTCTAAGCTCAATACGTTGGCGGAGTACCATGCGGTTCTTAATCCAGGTTCTTCCTTGTAAACCTTGAAAGGAGATTTTACATTCGTTTTAGAAAGAACACAATCAACAATGAGCAGTTAGTTATGGACAGTGTATACATGCAAATGTAGCACAAACCTCTACATTAGAACCCTCCTTGATGTTCTCATTATTTGTAGCTTTCATAGTCTGTTGCCCTTCTGTTTGGGTGTCATCCGAAAATTTCGACCTAACTTCTGGTTCGCAAACCACATCATTGTTTTTAGCCATGTCTGCACCTTTATCACCCTTTTGTCCCTTCACCTTACCAGTGGCAGAAACTGGACCAGACACACCATCTGCCGTTTTCACAGAGCCAACCAACTCAGTTTGCAGAGTTCTGGGACTAGCAAAAGTTCCCTCACTAGTCGCCAGAGTTTCTCTTTCTAAGACAGTTGTTTTACAAGGCTGCACTTCCTGAGATCCTTGAGCCTGCCTCCAGTAATTACTTGGACCCGCCTCCACCAGCTTATTGAGCAACGGGGGATGACCCATTGAAACAAGTATTCCAGCTTGTGACACAGCCTCTGATGCCAATTCTGCTGCTTTTACAATGGAATCCATATTTTCAGCATACTTGGTGGCAACTGTGGCAGCTTCAACCCTCTTCTTAGCTGCCTCTCTCGCCGCAATAAGAACAGAACTGGAGCTCACTAATGCACCTTCGCCTTTCAAGATAGAAGAAGGGGTACCCTGGCCTGGAAATATATTATCATTTGACTTAGGGAGTCCCGGATCAGAAGTATTTGGAAGGGATGCTTCTTCAGCCATTAATTTGGCCTGCAATGCAGCATTAGCTGCAACATTTGCAGCAGCTGCTGCAGCCTTTGCCACCGCAGCAGCAGCAGCTATGGCAACAGCAGCCGAAGCTAATCTGTCTTGAGTTTCTGGCAGGAGGCCAGCGTGCCTTCGTTGCTCTATCTGCTTCCATACAAATTCACTATGACTAACAGCTGCAGTAGCAAGAGCAGATGCATCCTCTGCATGCATCTTAGCCTCCTTGAGTTTATCAATGCTATCCTCTGACAAGACAGACCTCTGCTGTACTTCAGGTACAAGGTTACCCCCAAAAATTGGAGATGGCAAAGATGATTTAATTTTCTTCCCAGGAAATGTAGATACAAGGTTCATAGGGACTGCAGTGATAGAAACAGCACTGGGAAGGGTGCCAGCATTAGAACCCAGATTAGACGCGGTAGGTGTAATAGGCACAGCTGTCGATATTGAAACAAGAGGTGAGGCAGCTAATTCTGTCTGCTTTAGCGAATTCAAAATGCTTGGACCAGACTCTACAGAGGCTGGCATCTTCTTCCGTTTCCTTGATTTTGTCCCAGTCGAATGTTGAGCAGGTGCTACAACTGTACTCGTTTGCTCAATTGTAGGTGTCACTTTGAAAACATTGCTAGGAGTTCCACTCTGCACATGCTTTGCGCCAGAGTAAGTGAAGGATGATTCTTTCATGGGAGTCAATTTTACAGGTTCGGTGATCGGATAGACAGGGAAACGAGAACCAACATCAAATCCACTGGTTTGCTGAGAAGCAAGCCAAGGGTTACGGTAAGCGAGAGGCGATGTCCAAGGGGTGTTATGTCCAACAATATTAGTAGGTGGTGGAGTATGGTGAGTCTGCGATGAAGAAAGCAATGGCTGGTGATTAGCAGCTGAACCTCTCTGAGCACTACTTGGTTGTAAAGTATCAAGGGAAGTTGATAAACTCCATAAAGGTGATGAGAGTGGAATCATGGGGTTTGTCGCTGAACTATCTTTTCTACTGGTGTGACCTGCTGATGGGGTCTCCGTCTTCCCTGGAAATGCAGTTTTGGGTATTTAGATCAGCAATGCTAACATCAGCAGCACTGAGAAGTAAAATCTAAGCAGACCATAATAGTTTGAAGTGCAGAATAAATTAATGTAGAAACCTGCACGTGACTGCAATGGCGTTTCAGGAGTAGCAACAAGCGATTTCTGAGCTCTTACTATACAAGTACGCCATACTTTCTCCCAGCTGTCCTTCCCACCATCTAAAGAAGTACAGAATGAACAAGTTTTGTCTCAAAAGTAAATAACACAATAGGTTAAGGACTAACAATCTTACCTGGACCACCAAATGCAGATATCATATAAGCTTCATCGGGTGCTGTTCCTTGGCTGTATCAGGAAGAAAGAAAAATTAAGAGCAAGAATAAGATGTGCTAGAACTCCAAATGAGATTGCTCTCAAATCTCAGACTCAACCAGACTTAAGACAAAAAAAAAAAAAACTAAATAGAAAGAGCTTACATCAGAGCCCCATATACAAAAATCTGTGCACGTAGCTGCACTTGTTGCAAGTCTGTAAAAGGTCGACGCAGAATATTTGAGAGAGCAGAAGAGTTCAAATCTGGTAGACTTGCTGTGGGGGTGGAAACGGTCCCAAACGATTTAAGATTAGGGCTCGGAAGAATTTGCTGTTTCTCAGTAGATTGTGTGATCTGAATAGGACAAGCCAAATTTTGATTAACAGCATTTGCTTTGCCTCCACTTTGAAATTGTTGAAAAGGTGTAGCCCCTTTTACACTAGTTCCTTTTCGAGAAGTCTCTTTTCCTACAGATTTGGATGTTCGCCTGGGTTTCCGCTCAGACTTTGTTTTAGAAGACTTTGGAGCTGTTTTCTCTAAGTTAGATGTTGAAGGAGATCCAACCACAATCTGAATGAACAACAACAAATGTAATGTAAGGGCGAAACACACTAATGCCACAGAGTTTTTTTTGAACACTGATGAAAATATATTAAGATGGAAACTGGAGGTACCGGAGAGACGAGTGTAGCTTGTGAAAAGTTAACAGCTTTGGATGTTTCCCCTGCTTTCAGCTGATCGGGAGTTACGTTCATTTCACTGCTGAAGGTATCATTTCTATTCAAGACTGGAGACCCAGCAGAATTAAAACTCGAAATATTCTGGTCTTCTGGCATTGTGACACTGTTTGTCTCTGTCTTATTAAGTTGAGGTTCAGAAGTCTTAACAGCGGGAACAGACTTAAGAGGAGTCTTTAAATCAGTATCAGCATCTTCCTTTGCAGTTACAGGAGACTTTATGGAAGGCTCAGAACATTTATAAGTATGGGAATCTCCTAGTACGGTTGCATCACCTACAATATCCCCAAGCACAAGTACATATTTTCTATGAGTTATTGAAATTAATTGCATGGATCTAGAAAAAGAGAAGTTATTTCAAGATCAATATCTGTTGAACTTAGTCAGGAGTTTTTCAGTAACTGTATTCTTTTAATGAGGAGCCTTTTTACTTAATACTACACGAAGTGTATACTCTTTCGGCATTCATCATGATACACCTAATATGTATATCCCTAGTAAACCATTCTGACAAATCAGAAGAAACTGCAAAAAATTAGGAAGTTTCTTGCTGTACAAAGATTATGCAGACTCACCTTTGGGGTGTGAAACAGAAGTCCCAGCTGTCATAATCCCACCCGATGCAGCAGTATTAACCTCTTCCTGGCCATCTTTATCAGCTTCACTCCCAAGATTAGCCAAGGAGCTAGTGTTAGGGATTTCATTTACGTTATCCTTGTCCAGAATTGACCGAGTCTCTGCCAAGAAAGAAGCAAACAAAAACTATCTGGTAAGGTCTTCATAGAACGAGAATTTAGAAAGAAACAAGCTAGTGCAATTACTATAACCCAAAATAGAAAAACGTTACCTGGAGCATTTACAACTTCTGTTACTAGATGTTCTTCTAAAATTGTTTCCTCAGACTGCTCCTGCAAAACTTGCCCAGCAGCATCAGCATCTACTGCATCTTTTGACCCTTCAGAGCCAGGACAGTCTTCACCAGAGTGTGTACTTTGCTGAGTACCTTCAGCATCCTTCCTAGCTTGTTGGTCCACCTGACTCCCTGAACTACTTGCATCCACAGGTGGAAGGGTTTGACCATTTTCAGGTTCATCAGATGACACCTTCTCAGTTTCAGAGAGACGGCCTTGGTCACTTGCATCAGAGGATGACTTTACAATATGTGAATCAATTGAAGACGTGAGACCGACAGCAGGTGCTTCATCTTGACATAGAGGTTGTAATTCTTTGGGATTGAGAGAACCGTCAATCAAAGTCACTGTGGAAGTCATTTAGGGGGTGTAAACAAGTAAGCAGAAAGGTAATCCCAAAAGAACAAGAAAAGCAAAAAACAAGGCTACTGAAAGAATGAGAAGGCAAACGTACAAGTACACACAGTATGGATAGAAAGTACACAAAGAGGATTAGACAATATGGTTACCTGACTTGTCTGTTGAAATGGTGTCAGATTGAGATGCTGACTCCACCAACTTGGAAGTAGAACCTCCTGAAACATCACCAACAGACTTGGTCACAACGCTTTCAGATAGGATTTGAGAGCTCTTGACATCCTGATCTCTATCATTGGCATTGACAGGCAGTTCCATGCTTTGCTCGAGATTAGAAGTGCGAGCACTATCTTCATTATTGTCACTCTTCATAGACACACCACCTTTTGTAGCTTCAACCATTGAGTCCGTAGGTGAAATATAAACACTTTCCAAAGTTTCAACTACATGTATCTGTGTATGTGTCTCGGTCTCCATATGAACAGTAGACTCATGTTTACTTGTACTAACTTCCACATGTCGATCACTAAGCAATTCAGGCTTCTCAATGGAATCAATGCTTGCTATAGTTGTCAATTCGCCAGCAACTTTCAGAGATGCTTCAACAGCTTCGCTAGTATGAACATTGCTGACAAGGAGATCTTGGCATTGGGCCCCTGAAATATCTCCTCCACCTACCTTAAGAGTAGAGAGAGCTTGGTCCCCTTTTTCTAGTACTGTGAAATCAGCTCGCTCTGTCTCCTTCAGATCAGGCTTTGCAATTTCACCAATATTTTCAGCTCCCACATTTTCAACTTCAGAAGCTGATACATGGCTATCAGAATGAGCCTCAACCAAAACTGACCCTGCTTCTATAGTTATTTCATTGTGATTATAACCACTTTGAATGTGGTCCCTAATAACATTTTCATCATTCGAAGTCTCTGGAAGCAAAGTGTTCTGATTATTCAACTCACCACTACAAGTAGTCACAGTCTGTACAGTTCCGTCGCTACACTCATCTTCCATCCTTGATTCTGCATTGACTTTGTCTTCTGCTTGGTCAAGAAGATTATCAGTTGTCTCAGTTCCTGCTCCATTGCTACAATCATCTTCCATCCTTAATTCTACATTGACTTTTTCTTCCGCTTGGTCAAGAATATTATCAGTTGCCTCAGTTCCTATCTTATCAAGTCCAGTGGTATCTGCAGCTGGTACCTTTGCAGTATTTGAAGCCAAGATGGCATTCTTTTCCTCAAGGGATGCCTCTTCTGTAGCAGTTGGTGAGTGATCTTTCACCAAAACCTGTTCCTGTCCAGCATCTGTCTTTACCACAGAGGACTCTCCTGGGTTATCATCAACAGATGGGTTTAGTTGTAAGTTTGCGGTTTCTTCTTTGGAATGACTTATTTCAAGGGATGTCTGACCAGGCTCCATTAGTCCAATTGTGCAACCTAGTACATCAGAAGGATCAGATTTCTTGATAGTATCTTCTCTTACAATAACTTCGTCCTGGCCAACAGAATTCAAAAGCATTTCAACAGATTCTGACGAAGTAGCCTCAGACCATACATTATTGTGCCTAGGAATGGCACAGGACTCTGTTGCACCTGAACTAAACACTATACCACTGTTTCCCCGAGAGAAATCTTCAATCCAGTTATTATCTTCGTTACCCTCAATACCAAGAAATGCCTCACTTTCACCTAGACTGTCAAACCTCAGATGCGTGTTGAGTGTATCATCAAAATCAAACTTTGGAAGAGGATAAGGCTGTAAAACTGGTGGAAATTTGTTGTTTGCTTCACCAGCTAAATGGAGATTCTGGTTTTGAAAGTCATTGTCATCATAATCCATGGGTTTGTTCCTGACACAAGAGACACATGTGAAGATTCAAAAAATAAAAATAAAAAGCATACCAACACCTTGAAACAGAAAAGAAGAAGAAGAAAAAAGACGCAGCCCGTATCATGTCGAGTGGGGTAAAACAGTAGGAAAACGAAAAGTACCAAAACAAGAGTGTATGGAGACGCTACCTCCCTCCATTCGGTGACAAAAACCTGGCCGTCAGACCTCAGCTGTCCCTAATCCCACGTTCATCTACTACTGCTCTCACCCCAAACAAAAAAAACAACACCGTCAATTATAAAATTTATTCCCTCTCAAATCCATGGGCACACGAAAACCTAACTGAGTGGACTGGCTACAAATTAAAAAAAAATTGAAACGCTGGTGAAGAAGTTTAAACTGACCGGAAAATTCAAACAGACGAAGTCGACCTAGGGTTCCGGCGAAGAAACGAAGTTTGGGGAGTGAAGCAGATTGGGGGAGAGGAGAGAAAATGCCCGATAAATTATTATTCGCTTTCCTCGGCAAATGCAATGAGTCTTGTTTAAAGTAAAGCCCAAAAATATATTAACTCCTTAATATAAAATAACGCCAGAAAATAACATTTGGAGGATGCTGATGCGGCTCAATCCAGAGCGACGCGTGTCAAAATTTCTGGATCTTGTGGCTAAGATTGAATTCAACGAAAAACACGCCTCCAGGTTTTCACTTTTGAAACGTACGCTCTCAAATTTAATGGCTAAAGTTCCGTTAAAAGAAAACTACAGATTTTTAATGACGGAGAGGTAAAAAGATGAATCTTTTGTTTGAGGACTGAGGTTTGACGACGACCAAAGACGTAAAAAGTTATAAAGGTTAAATGTTGAAATGACTATTGTCTTACTGTGAGATTACTGGAAGAATGAAGATGATTGGTTAAACTAAACGAAGTGGAAAAAAATTAGAGGAGAAACATGTCAATAGAGGCTTTTGTGTGTTATTAGGCAACTTATTCTAATATGGGCTTAGGCCCATATATATTTGGCCCACATTTGGTAGACGATTTGGAATCTTTGTAACCGAACCGAACCACAATGCTACGCAGTCGCACCAATCGCAACATGTTCGGTTAAGTTTTATGTTTCTACTCGAACGGTAAGCTTGGGTTGAAACCGAATAGAACCAATAACACAACATGTTTAGACAATAGTTGAAGAAAATAAATCAACAACTTCGGTTAAAGCTCAACTCTAGCTACTAATAACAAATCAACCAAACTGAACCCGAATCCAACAAAAGACCTGAAATGACCACCCCTTAATTTGTAGTTTTAAGCAGAATTGGGTGGAATTACACATGTCACGCATCGTTCTAATCTAGGAAATAGCATTACACTTCGCTATTATATTGCAAATTCTTGATAATAAACAAATTTATCCATAACCATTTACTAAACATTACTTTGATGTTAGGGGACGAAGAAAGTAATATAAACAACCGTCCGCTCTGCCCATATTTTAATGTCACCACTATTGTATATCACTTTACTTTGATTTAAAAGTTTTTCATTTCAATGTGTCTTGTATTTATAACTATAAGTGTTTGTTGTAATATAATGTTTTCTCAATATATCTAACGCACACCAACTCCTCACAGAGCAACGCTAGTATTTGATTTAAGTACTCCTAATCCCTATTAATATTTAGCACCTCCCAAACTAATAAGATACAAATTGTAACAAATCAAGAAAAACAAATATAAATGAATACGACCATATATCATAATTGGTGTGCAACCGCATTAATTTAAATGCAGGATATTAACGTGACAACAAAACACTTATCTCCACATATTATGAAATACCTTAACCCATCATTTTCTTAGCATTATGCTTATTAGGTTATTAGTCGTCTTTAATCATTTTCGATGTCACTAACCCGCAAAGTCTAAATAATTGGCGGTTTGGGCGGCATACAATAGTGACGTGCCACGTAGAGTAAGGCTAACAACTTCATTACCTCTTTGCTATATAAAGTCGAACATAAAACAGGCCCAAAATACATAAATAGAAAGAGCTTGTAACCAAACCAAAGTCAAACACACAGAGCTATTCAAAATGGTTAAGATTGAGATTGGAAGTTTAGGCGATTCCTTCAGTGTGTCATCTCTTAAGGCTTACTTGTCTGAATTTATCGCAACTCTTCTCTTCGTGTTTGCTGGTGTTGGCTCCGCTATTGCTTTTGGCAAGCTCACATCCGATGCAGCCTTGGACCCGGCTGGTCTTGTCGCTATCGCGGTAGCTCATGCCTTTGCCCTTTTCGTCGGTGTGTCAATAGCCGCCAACATCTCTGGTGGACACCTTAACCCCGCCGTGACACTCGGCCTTGCCGTTGGCGGCAACATCACAGTCATCACCGGTTTCTTCTACTGGATTGCTCAATGCCTTGGATCCATCGTCGCTTGTCTCCTCCTTGTATTCGTTACCAATGGCGAGGTACATAATAACATACATAATATTTTCTATACTATTATATATACATCATGAGATAATTACTGATCATGAATGTTTTAGTCAAACTCAAACGACCGTGACTAAAAAATGTTATGGTGGTATTGGTCTCAAGACCCGGTTTAAATAACAAGTAAAGAAAGTCCGGTTTGGTTATAGAAAATCTGAGAATGTGTTTTATTCCCCGGTCATGCAGAGCGTACCAACCCATGGAGTAGGAGCCGGTTTAGGAGCTGTTGAAGGAATAGTGATGGAGATTGTTGTGACCTTTGCTCTGGTCTACACAGTCTACGCCACGGCAGCTGATCCCAAGAAGGGATCGCTCGGGACTATTGCTCCAATAGCTATCGGTTTCATCGTTGGAGCCAACATCCTCGCTGCCGGTCCCTTTAGCGGCGGTTCCATGAACCCGGCAAGGTCATTTGGACCAGCTGTTGTTAGTGGTGACTTCTCTCAAATATGGATCTACTGGGTTGGGCCACTAGTCGGTGGTGCACTCGCTGGACTCATCTACGGCGATGTCTTTATCGGATCGTACGCTCCAGCTCCCACCACAGAAAGCTACCCTTGATCAATCATCTACGGTTCTAATTTGTTTGGCTTTGCTTTTTTTTTGTTTGTGTGAAAATGTTTGGTCCAGTTTCTTCCGAAAATGAATGATTGAATGTGGAGAAACGGATCAAAGTTGTACTTGGTGTTGGTTACAAATAAGAATTGTATATTTCAGAATTTTCTTGTTTTTTCTCAATGCGATCATAGATTACACTTTCTCAGTTTCTTGCATTCGTTAAATTCCAAAGTAAACTCATTTGACATTCGAAAATGGCGTGGTTAACTATTCCACTTAGATTAATTTCCAATACACCACGACTACTACATCATAAGGTTTGACAAAAAGATAGAGATACATACAACCGAATCCAAATTGCTCAAAGATCATTAGAGATAAAGGCCTATAATTAAAGGCCCATTTGAATCCCAATGAAATTCCTAAACTCATGCTAATTAATACACAAGTTGGTCTTGTTAGCTGTATATACTTTCGTTTAATCAACCGTTTGAGTACTCAACTCAAGTGATAAAATAGTAATGCTAGAAAGACATATAAAATAATCGTTAATCCGTAAAACAAACTTAAACGATAGAGTGCAATAATAGAAAAAAACCAAAGTGGTCTTCTTTTACGTATGACTATTATTTGAAGGAAGCTGGTCGGTTGTGGGGGAATGAATCGTGTGAGAGAGCCGTCCGCTCAAAAGACAAAATGCTCTCAAACCAATGCATCTGTCGCCTCTTTGTGGTTTCACAAACCGTCCCACCAGATTAAGATATTACCTGAAATTCATGCACAATGTTCTTAACCACAATATTATCCTATCTTTCTCCTCCGTACCTTATATATAAAGAACAACATGGAGACGAGTTCTTACAAATCTCCAAGACTCTATACCGTAATTATAAACACTCATCAAGATTTCTATTGTAATCTATCATTTGTAAGTCTGCACGTACTTTTGGGTATTTGTTATTTGTGGTTTGAATAATTCTCTTTCATAAAAGAAAAAAAAGAAAGATTCTCTTATATTATTGTAGTTTGGTTTATGCTCTTCCTCTTCTTTTCCACCTGAGTCAACATCATCCTTTTCATCTACAAAAAGTTTTTCCTTTTTTAAATAATTATTTTTATTTATTTTTCTTCAGTTTTACAGTTCATTGCCATGTTTTAATTCTGAAACTCAAAGCTGGTTTCTCTGTTTTGGTCACATGGTTTCCATCAGAAACATAACTATTGCTCCACCAGGATAATAAATACCCTCTTGTCTTTGTGATCCCACGTCATCTTTTCAAATTCAAAAATCTTCATTTTCAATCCGGAAGATTCATTTTTAGGAGATAAATGGAAAACGGGTTTTATTCAGATTGGAAAGATACTTCTTCTTCTTCATTGTTTGGATCAGAGAACATGGAGGAGGAGTTGGAAGATGGAGTTCTCAGAGCTGAAGAGCTTTTCTCATCCATTCCTCAGCCTCAGACACCAAAAGAGCCTATGGAGTTTCTTTCAAGATCCTGGAGTCTCTCTACTTCTGAAATCTCCAAAGCACTTGCACTCAAACATAGACAACAGCAGGAACAGTTTTGTGTTGGCCAGAACAGTCCTCCTGTTTTGTTCCCTGTTGCTGCTGCAGATCCATTCGTGGTACGACTCTTTTTTATCCCTTTATCCAACTATTTCTCGTAATTATAGTGAGTCTTAAAAAGTCAAAGACTTTTCAATTGTATATGGCCATTGCACCAGTTCCCAACATAGTTCTTGGGAATTGCAATGGATAAAACACTTTTCATACTTTAAAATTCTGGGAATTTGATTTAGGCTGGGAAGATTATGAACTCGGTTGGCACACGCAGAGCAGGGACATTATCCAGATGGTTTCACCACCCCAAGGAACACAGCAGCAGCAGCACAATCACCAATCCCAAGAAAAAAGACAAGGTGCGCGTTGAGAACGCTCATGTGCATTCTGCAGTGTCGATAGCGGCTCTGGCTGCAGGTTTAGCCTCTGTCACATCTGCAAGCAATTGCAAAGGGTCAGGCTCTAAGATGGCATTGGCTTTAGCCTCAGCCACTGAACTGTTAGCCTCACACTGTTTTGAGATGGCTGAGCAAGCCGGTGCTGACCGTGCACGTGTTACTTCCACAGTAAGATCTTCTGTGGATATACACAGCCCTGGTGATCTCATGACTCTAACAGCCGCTGCTGCAACTGGTCAGTCTTTTTTTGCAGCTTCACATTGCTTTTTTTTTCCGTTGATATGCATTTGATCTGACTTTGTTTAAACTGACACTAGCTTTGAGAGGAGAAGCGGCTCTGAAGGCAAGGCAGCCAAAGGAAGCAAGGAAAAATGCAGCTATTACCCCTTTTGAAAGAAGCTTCTCTGACTCTCATTGGCCTGCAAATTTTCAATGTAGATTGGAAGAACCAAATATTCCATTTGAAGGCGAACTGATGCAATGTGCGCGAAATGGTAGTTCTCTTCTGTCAGTGAGAGTCTGATCAATTGAAGGGTTCACTGAGATAAGAGAGTGAGAGAGTGGTTAACTCCTTTTCTTTGTGCTGTAATTTGCAGGAGTGCAGCGAACTAAGCGTGTCTGCGTCTATATCAACAAGAAGTCTCAGGTACAGCAGATTTGATTAGTATCCATAACACACAACACATCTTAGTTCACTTCTAAGCCAATGCTTATTATGTTACCTATGATATTACAGGTAATGATCAAACTCAAAAGCAAACATGTTGGAGGGGCATTCTCCAAGAAGATCAAATGTAAGCATTTACTAATCTTCCAGTTTAGATACATTACCAGAAAGACGAGATTCTAAACTTGTTGTTCCTTTCTGAAGGCGTTGTCTATGGAGTCTGCGATGAGAAATCAGCTTGGCCTTACAGGAAAGAGAGGGAAAATTCAGAAGAAGTCTACTTCGGTCTGAAAACCGGACAAGGTCTTTTGGAGTTCAAGTGCAAGAGCAAGATTCACAAGCAGAGATGGGTTGATGGGGTTCAGTCTCTACTTCGCCAAGTAAATTGCTTTGAGGCTGCCAAATGCTCGCTGGGATCTCTGAGTCTCACCGGTCACACGTGATGAAGGATCCTGTGTATATATGATTGTATACATATAATCCACATTTTTGCTGTTGTGAGGTATTTGCTAAACCTGGCAATGTACAATGTCAGTCTCTGTAACCTCGGAAGACTTTTGGATAAAACACAGCAGGTTTTCCAAATGATCACAACAAGTTGTAGGAATATTGCTATGTACAGAAAGACATCAGAAGAATGATGAACCTCAAATGAACTTTTTCTTTCCAATGATTCAGTTTCTGATTTGCTAAGCCAAAACGTTGACGTGTAAGCTATAAAGAATCAAAAACTTATAGAGAAGTGGTATGTATATTTTTGCTTGAGTGAGCAGTTTATATGAAGAATCAGGTGAGAGACATGTCAGTGATTTTCACGTAGGCCGTATTAGAATACGACAGTCTTTTGTGTCCCATAAGGCAGTACTCGTAGTTCGCAGTATGATTTTATAGCTTTCATGAGGCACTTTTTCTCGAGGTCCTCTGATTTCTGGACAAAGCTCCTCAAATTGTCTCGGTGGGAAACTCTCTCAACCTGTAAAAATCAAATTGAGACGCTTCAGAAGAACAATGCAACCCTCAGAACAACTTAACTAGTTGGGAGATGAATCACCATTTGTTCAATGATAGGACCTGAATCAAGTTCCTCTGTAACAAAGTGAGTTGTTGCACCAATTAGTTTCACACCTGCATCAAATGCCTACCAACAGAATCTAGAAGCGTAAGAGACAGGTAGGCCTGGGCAAAAAAACCGGAACCGAAAATCCGAACCGGAACCGATCCGAAAAATTAGACCCGAATCCGAACCCGAAATTTTAGATTTACCCTATTGGGTCCTAAACTCCTCTACCCGAAAACCCGAACCGAACCCGAACTCGAAAATACCCGAAATATAAATGTATAAAAATAATTTAGGACCCGAATACCCGAGTTATCTATTTAAATATCCGAATTTATACCCGAAATTCTGATTTTCTACCCGAAAATTCCGGTATTTATTAAAAAAATCCGAATTTTTATCCGAAAATATGGGTATTTACCCAAAATTTTGGGTATTTGTCCGAAAACCCAAAAATTTACCCGAAAATTTTCGGGTATTCGGGTAAATTTTCGGGTATTTGTGTACCCGAAAAATTCTCGGTTTTTTAACGGTTCTGAAAATTTATACCCGAACCGACCCGAACCCGGATGGATCCGAACCGAAACCGAACCGAGTTTTTATGTTTACCCTATTGGGTCCTAAACTCCTCTACCCGAGAAACCCGAACCCGAACCGAATACCCGAATGCCCAGGGCTAGAGACAGGGATGAGCACTGAGAGATAAAGACGAGACTAAATATAAATAACACAACTCATGAGAGATAGAGTCATCAAAGAACTTAGAAACCTGTTTCACGGGATTTCGCCCCTTGAATGACGGCAAGAGGCCATGATGGATGTTGATTACATCTTTTCCATAACCTTTCAAGAAGTTACCGGACAGTAGCTGTCAAAGGAAAATGTTCCAGTCAACATCATCCGTCAATATAGTTACTAATGCTATGATATTTCATTTGTTAATATAGTTGTTCCTGCAAAGAAGCATAAACTCAAAGAAAGAACACTAGAACAGTCTGAGGAGAAAATCTGATTCATTTTGGGGTTAAACTAGCGAAGACGCAAACAAAAGTGAGACTATTTAGGTCAAAATGATTTCCTCAGCATTTGGTTAAGAAAAGAAAATTAGCTTAGGATGGAACTTGGAAGCTGATAATAATAAGCAAACAACTTGTTTATTTCACTTATCAAGGGGTTATCATATACCTGCATGTATCTAGCGAGAACCAAAAAATCAGTATCCTTAACCAATTCGAAAATCTCCTCTTCTATTTTGTTCTGATCGGTTGTTGGCAAATAATGATAAGAGATTCCATGCCTCTGGAGAAACCGCATAATATGGGTGTTTGGAGCTCTTTCATGGTTACTGGACACACAAAGTATCCGGAATCACTAGTCATACATGCATACCTAATACCTAATATATCTATGCAGTTCACTGATAAGAATCTTATGTAAACCTTATCACACATGTTATATCGACAGGAAGCTTTCCGTCCTGCCATTTATGCAACATTTCAACCAGACAATGATCCTACAAACAGAATTATCAGACAACTTCAGGAAAAAAGAATCAAGAGGACACAGAATAATTAGATCCATATGACATATAGTTTTACCTGTTTCGACAGTAGAAGAGCGATCTTGTATTTGGGGTCTAAAGACGGCACTCGTACAACTGAGCTCAAAGCACTAAACTTTTGTGCAATAGTTTGAAAATCTTTATTCATCCGACTCCTCGGCCATTTTACTGGATCAAATATAAACTCACTGCCAAAAGAATTTACCTTTTCATCACAAGGAAAGGCAAAAATAGAAACCTTTAACTAGATTCCAATTTCTAAAAGCCTAACAGTAACCAAAACAACTCCAAGCTTTTAGGATTGATAGTATTAACTCTAAAGACATTGGATTAGAAATTAGTCAAGCGAATCTATTGAAGAAGCATCAAAGGTGAGATTTTTGAAATGGGAAAGTTGGGAACTTTACCTTCTAGAGTAGAAGACGTTCTTGTTCTCAGGAACAAACACATCGTAACCAAGAATGTTTCCTCCTTTTGCAGCAATACAATCTGATAGTTTCGCTACAATCCCAACGACATCCTAGAACCAAAGACAGAGTGGAGTCAATACTAGTTATGTGATATTGGATTCCGATTAGTTTAGCATCCATGAATATTGGAACGTACCGGACAATGGAAGACGTGGACGCCGGGGATGAGAATGGGTGAAACAGAGGAATCGAGGGACTCGCCGTGAAATTGAGAAGATTTAAAGGACCATTTCGTAAATGATCTAAAAGCTGTGGCGGAGAGACATGAGGTGGCTGAGACTCTTAGTACCATCGCCGTTATTTCTTCGAATTCGACTCATCCATTGTTACACTCGTTCTCACCTTTATATACTTCGATTCTGTGCTGGGTGTGTCTGGTTTATATCTGTTTTCTTATTCACATATATCATCCTGAAAATTTCGAGCATGACTTAAAAAACTCTACGAAACAGAGTGAGTTTTACTGTTTACTTCATCAAATTAAACACAAAATGGACTTATAATATATGGAATCGTATAAAGTTATTTTATTTCTCCATTATATACAACCTGTTATCTTACACAAAGTTATTTCAGAGTAAATATGATGGAAAAAAAATTCTATGATGTAACATCAATTTCTAATGAAATGTTTTATTAAAGTTATTTCAGAGTACATGTTTTTTTTTTATACTAATTATGACTCGTCGTTAGATTGTGTCCTCTCCAAATAGGTCCTCATATATTGTACGAAAATATCTGTTACAAAAAAGATAAGTCCGTGCGAATTTGACGTCGGCCCCTCAACGACGTCGTTTAGCTCAAAATCGATCGAGAGAGAGAGAGAGAGTCTGAGAGCTCAGAGGTTCGGTAATGGCAGATGTTAAGGACTCAGCGATTACCAGGTATGGAATCGTAGGGGTTGGTATGATGGGAAGAGAACATCTCATCAATCTTTACCATCTTCGTGACCAAGGCCTCGCCGTCGTTTGCATCGCCGATCCTCACCCTCCCTCACAGCTCCTTGCCATTGAACTCGCTCAATCTTTTGGTTGGGAACTCAAGGTATTTTGAATTTCCCGGCAACGATCATACAAAACCAAACTTAGGACATACTTATGTAGTTTACAAGGTAGTAGAGCGGACTCTTGTTCAGTGTTTTTATATAATGTTTTTGTGCATGATGATTGCTTTGATTTCCTAGTCTTTGTACTTTTGATAATTTCTCTGTTTTGGATGAACTGGCGTTGGTCTACTCAGGATTTGAAAATTTCCATTTTTTGTTGTGAACTTGTCATTAAGGTTTTCTCAGGACACGAAGAGTTGCTTAAGAGTGAGCTGTGTGACGTGATTGTTGTGTCTTCTCCAAATATGACTCATCATCAGATTCTTATGGACATTATCAATTATCCAAAACCACATCATGTTCTTGTTGAGAAGCCTTTATGCACCACTGTTGCAGATTGCAAGCAGGTCCGTTTTCATTTTTTTGTTGGCACCAAATCTTGCTGAATATGATTGATTAGTTCATCAAACTGTGTTTGAAATCAGGTACTGGAGGCTGCAAAGAAAAGGTCAGATATGGTGGTGCAAGTTGGTTTAGAATACAGATACATGCCGCCAGTAGCTAAGCTAATAGAAAAAGTAAAAGGTAGGGAATTTGGTGATGTCAAGATGGTAGCAATCCGAGAGCATAGATTCCCTTTCTTGGTTAAGGTAGGCTCAAACAAGATGGACTGTGTGTAGTTTTACACATCCTATTTTTTTTTTATGATTGCTGAGAGAACACCATCACTAGGTGAACAACTGGAATAGATTCAATGTGAACACTGGAGGGACCTTAGTGGAGAAATGCTGCCACTTCTTTGATCTAATGAGACTCTTTGCTGGTGCAAATCCTCTATGTGTGATGGCTTCTGGAGGCATGGATGTGAACCACAAGGATGAAGTTTATGATGGAAAGGTACATTTTTTATATCCCAAATTACACCCCAACTTTGTAAAGGAGTCTGTGTTGTGAGTACTATTTATTTCTCTGTGATATAGGTGCCTGATATAATCGATAACGCATATGTTATAATTGAGTTTGACAATGGATGTCGTGGGATGCTTGATCTTTGTATGTTTGCTGAAGGAAGCAAAAACGAGCAAGAGATATCTGTGACTGGTAACATTGGAAAGGTGAGTTCCTTTGAAATATCATGGGCTCCTTTTTGTGTGTCTGTGTGCTTATGGTCTTGGTGTGATAGGATTTTTGGTCTGAAATGAAAAAAAAACAGAGCTGGGTGTTTTTTTTTTATGTATTGAATTCACTGCATTCTTCAAAATGTTATTTTCGAAGACTACATATTTTCCATCTATCCCCAAATCACATGGCATGCGGCATACCACATACCTAAA